TGTAAAGGTGTTTCATTCAATGCTTTAAGTATTTCATCTCTTATAATTCTCTTATAGAATCTCATGTGCACTTCTCTGGGAGGTTGATTTCTTCTAGCATAAGCAGAGTTCATTCTGAATGCAGTAACAATCGCATCCAAAACTTTCTTTGTTTCTTCTGTCTTCATATACTTAGCCAGGGTATAAGCCATCGTTTTCCTTGTATCTTCCTCTTTCTCTTCTGGAATATTTTGAAAACTTAATATCTATGCTGCTTTATCTTATTCAAGCTTCATGAGATATTGTTCCAAAGAAGTTGGTTTAGTGTCCATTGCTTGAAGTTTATGTTCTGTTTCATCTACTTTATCTTCTAGTTTAGAGGTTGTTTTGTTCAAGTCAGCAATTTTCTGGTTATTCTCTAACAATTTCTTCTGAAGATCCTCCATCTTGTTTGAAAGTTGCTGTGACATGTCATTCATTGTATCTTTAATGGGTTCCACAGCTTCCATAACTGCAGCTTTTACAGTAGATGAGACTGTTTCTTGGATCAATAATTAAAGTTCTTTCATTGTAGCCTGTGTTAGACTGGAGGCTACCGATTTTGTTATACCTGGTGAACTGGAAGCCTGTGGTTTGGGGGGAGGCCTATTTGCACCTGCCATTTTAGGTAGGATTATATATCAAAGCAAAGAAGTCTCGGCAATATTAAACAACAATATTCTATGCCCACAGAATGTCTTATTGTTTATAAACAACCTTATTTTAGACACAATAAAGATAAAGTATTTCAAAGCCACATAAGACCTACAGTATTATCAGTTGTGTACAAAACATACTGCACGTGAAATAACTTAACAGAACAAAGCCAGTTTTTTTGTTATGGGAACGGATTCTTGGCAAGCCGCTCTTTCTCCTTCTTATATGGAAAGAATATTTTTTAAAAAGCGAGAAAAAAAAGAGGGGAGAAAACAAAAGTCCCAATAGTTGTAATCCATATATTGAAGTGTGAAGGATTATAGTCTGGTTGCCATATGAGTTGATCTCTGTTTTTTATTTTCTTGTAATTCCAAGAAAGAAGGTCTAAACCAAAATTTAAAAGGGGATAAAATATCCAAAAACCAACCAGGTAGTCTCCAAGATTCCCCAAGAGAGATACTATATTCCTCTTTATATTTCAGAAGAGGAAGTTTATGCACAGGACAAATAAAGCTTTAGTCCTCAAAGGCAATAAAAAAAAGTGCTTCTCTAGTCTTTTGCTAGCCGCAGGAAAGGAGGGGGGGTACTTCTCCTCCTCCTGGTCTTGATCTGTGTCTTTTTAAATTTTAGAGGGCTTGCGTACCAAAAGGGATTTCTGAGTGTGTTGCTTAGCACAGTTACTCACAGTGATCTTCTATATTATTAGGCAGAGTTGCTGGGATCCCTCATAGGTGGGTAGTGACAGCTGGGCGCTCATGGCTGCCATGGGCACTCTTCTCCACTTCTTGCTGGGGACGATCCAGGGCTTCCACTCGCCTGAACCCCCAAAACTCCTCTAAGGAAAGTGTGAAGTTGGCGGTGTCTGGGAGTGAGTCCCGGTGCCATCTGTCTCACCACCTGCAACCTGGAAGTCTTTTTTTTTTAGCCCTCCTGGAGGGGATTTTTTATTGCATATTTTTAATAGACTACAAACTACAACGAAAAATTGGGAAGGGGTGACTACATCTAGGGAGAAAGGAAAGAAAACCACAACTAACTAAAACCCCAAGTATAGGAGATCATAACAGCTTATATAAATGTTAATCTTAAATTGCTGGTATTACTTTGAACATAGTTGGCTATGCTATTTTTTAATCTTTTTATCCAATGTTTTATCCATTTAAGAGAACCCCCAGAGCATCCCACAATAAAACTAAAGTGTAAAGGCACAGTTCAGAGTCCTTCAGCCTTAATTTCTTATCTTTTCTAATCCTCAGTTTATATGTGCACTTGGGGGCAGCCGCCCCCTTATCAGAAAGAGAGTCCTCATCGGAAGACACCGAGTTGACTCCTTCTGGAATTAACCACCTGTAGACAATGCTGTCTGTTTGAAGAAAAAGGATTAAATATTTATATTTCTTTTTCTTTTGTCTTATTTCAAATGGAATGTCTTTTAGAATCCTGATGGTGTTGTCCCCGATTTTCAAGGGTTTTCCTGTAGTTGCTTTCAGGATAGAATTCCTCACATGTCGCTTTGAGAATCTAGCTACTATTTCCCTAGGCAGATTATTCTTTCTGAAGTACACGGAATAGGACCTATAGACAACATCCATTTCGCTTGCAAGATACTCCGCTTTCAAATCTGTAACTGGGGCTAATGCTTCACTCAGGAGTTGCTTTAGATTCTCACCTTTAATGGGACCCCTTGAAACCGTAGGACCAAATTTGCTTTTTCCATTTGCAGCTGTAAAAGTTGTGATTCTTCCAAGACTCGTTTCTTTTCCAGATTTTTCACCTTTTTCTTGACTTTTTTGGCGTCAGCATCCATTTCCTTCACCTTCTCAGCCATTTGCTCTGTTATTTTTAAAGTCTCAGTCAGTTGAAGCTGCTGAGTTGCAAGATTCTGATTTAGATTCGTCAGCTGTTGTTCTATGTTAGTCATCTGGTCCAGCAGAGGGTGCAAGGACTCTGCCAACAGTTTGGAGAGCTCTGTGGTCTCTTCCGGTCGAGGGCTCAAGATTCCGGCTGGTTTCACTTTTACTGGTTTGTCTTTCTCTGCCCTCTTCCCCGCCATCTTTATGGATTGTTTACTTTTATGAAAACCTGCTAAAGTCTCTGAAATATGCCCACACGCTTATCCGCACTCTGGTAAGTCTCTCAAAACAGATTTCAACGCTTCTTCTTCCGCTCCCCCCTTAGTATTTTGTTGTTTAGTTCATACGGGAGGGGCCCCTCCCCCGCTCGCTTTTTTCATCGTTCCCAGGGGGGTAGCTTTCTTTTTAAATTCTCGTTTTGCTTTAACCCGACTCACAGTTCATTGTTGGTCATACAACCTCACTTGGCACACGTTCAAAATGCTCGATTTCCGATGCTTGTCCTGGTCAGCGGCTCTAGATCCATACGGACACTCAGTGGCAGGACTGTCAGGGCAGAGGAGCGCCTCAATTCCCCAGCATCGCGCTGGCGAAGAGGACACCCCTCAAAAGCCCCATGGCTACGAGCCTTTTGCCAAGGCTCCATGGGGGTAGCGACCCGTCACCCCCCCTCCTTTCCGCTGGTGCACAGATCACATCCCCGGGAGGTCCGGGAGATGCGTCCGCCAGCGTGTTGCCATAAACTGGAAGCCTGCAACCTGGAAGTCTTGTCAGGAAGTATTTCTTTACTTGTTCTTTACTCAACAAGTAATTAAAATGTGGAATTCACTGCCAGAGGATGTAGTGATGGCACCAGGCATAGTAAAGGTAAAGGTTTCCCTTGCTCAAAAGCCAGTCAAATCCAACTCTAGGGATGCGGTGCTCCGTTTCCAAGCTGAAGAGTCAGCACTGTGGTCATGTGGCCGGCATGACTAGATGCCGAGGTGCACAGAATGCTGTTACCTTCCCACTGAATGTTTCCAATTTCTTGCTTTCGAACTGCTAGGTTGGCAGGAGCTGGGGCCAGAGACGGGAGCTCACTCTGTCATGCGGCACTCAGGTCTCGAACTGCTGAACTACTGACCTTCCGGTCTGCAGTTCAGCGTCTTAACCACTTGAGCCACCACAGCCCCAGGCACAGGCAGCTTTAAAAGGGGGTGTCATGGGCAGCGGCTAGGGAGGTTTACTATTGGCTGCCACCACTCTGGCATGGGTCTCCTTGGGAGGGCCCAGAGCACCCACCCTACCCCTCTTACAGGACGTTTACAATAGGTTTCCCCTTGTACATGGCCAAATGAGGCGTGAGGACCCAGGCAGAGTAGCAAGTAGTTTTATTAAGAAATTTAACAACAACTTTGGATTTATAACAAGTAGGAAAAATGAGCCAAGTAAAGGCAGGTAAATCAGTAGAATAATAAATCCTAACACGTCTGTCTGCACAGTCCTAGCCTTCCCTAGGTACCTGTTCACAGTCTCACTCACGCCTTTTGGACGAGGGATCCCTCTGTCTGCAGCAGCTTCCACCAGCCCTGCTCCCTGAGAGAGAACACCCGCCCCCCTCTGCGTAAAGTAGGGTTGCCAAGTCCTTACCGTAGGTATAGCGGGGGAGTCCAGCGCTGCTCTGGGAGTTCATGCGCACGCACCGCAATTACGTCAGCCGGAAGTGACGCAACCACGCCGGGCACGCCGGGGGTGGGGCCACAATCATCCGAGGGAAAACCATAGAGTTTTCCCTCGGATGACCGCGGCCCCACCCCCAACGCGCCCGACGCGACTGCGTCACTTCTGGGTGACGTACTGACGCCAGGCACGTTGTGTGTTTGGGGGGTGGGGTTCCCCCCATGGCCCGATCCGCTGACGGCGGGTAACAGGCCTCTCGGGCAGGGATTTCCCCACCCCCCGAGGGGACTTGGCAGGCCTAGCATAAGGCCTTTTATCTCCTCTCCCCAGGCACCGCCGTCTGTTCCCTTGCTGATGTAGTCTTCCCTCCAAAATCTCCTCTTACCCAATCACAGGGTCCAGGGGGAACCTGGGAAATGTAGGCCCTGATGATTACTCCAATGCAGGCTTCCCGGGAGCCACTAAGCCTCCCCAAAGCCTATAGGCTGCACTATAGCCCACGATCATGAAAGGGGGTTAAGCAGATTCATTGAGAATAAGTCTATCAGCAGCTGCTAGACATGGTGACTAAAGAGAACCACCACATTCAGAAGCAGTATACCTTTGAATACTGGTGCCAGGAGTGTACCCCAAGGGGTAGGCCTTGATCTCACCTATCGATCCTCCACAGTAGTTGGTTGGCCACTATGTGAGACGGGATGCTGGACTAGATGAACCACTGGTCTGATCCCATCAAAGCTCTTCTTATGGGTAGTGTTATTTTGTTAATGAAGCAAATGACTGTGACAGTGCTGCCGTCCATTTTGCTCCCAGATGCTGACGAGTGCCTAGCAACACCCTGCCAGCACCGCTGCAAGAACAGCATGGGCAGTTACCGATGTTCCTGTCATCCTGGTTTCTACCTTCATGGAAACCGGCACTCCTGCATGGGTAAGTCACCTTTTCCGGTTGAGATACGTAGCAGGAACAGGCTGCCTCCCCTTAACAAGGGCACTGGCCCAACTTGGTGCCCTCCTGCTGCCTCCAGATAAAACTGAATAGGTTGAAATGCCATACAGGTAGTGGTGCCTCTCTGTGCCTCAGAGTTACGTAAATGATCTAGGGAGCAGGTGGAATGGCCTTCTCTTGGCCAGTTCAGGTTTTCATAGTCTAAAGTGGGAGCAGACCCCAAAACGTAGCAGCACCAGTAGTGACCTAGCATGCTCACCTACGTATACGATTGTAATGTTATTTTCTTGAAAACAAACAGGATTTCTAGCTATGAAGTGTTCCTTCTTCTTCAAAAGTACTACCAGTTTAATACTTAAACAACTAGTCTCTTTTCCTTTCTGCACTTGGATCTCATCCCTGGTTTTATCAGAGTTCAACTTGCGACACAATAATACCTTTGCATTTATCCCTGATTATAACAGCATCCGTTTATCCCGGGACAAGTGTGGGGCAAAACCAGGGTGACCTCAATGTAATGTAAAAAGGTAAAGGTTCCCTTGCTCGAAAGCCAGTCGAATCCAACTCTAGGGTTGCAGTGCTCATCTCCGTTTCAAAGCTGAAGAGCCAGCGCTGTCTGAAGACATTTCCGTGGTCATGTGGCCGGCGTGACTAAACACCAAGGTGCACGGAATGCTGTTACCTTCCCACCGAAGTGGTACCTATTTATCTACTTGCAATTTCTTGCTTTCGAACGGCTAGGTTGACAGGAGCTGGAACTAGAGACGGGAACTCACTCTGTCATGTGGCACCCGGGTCTCGAACTGCTGAACTACCAACCTTCCACAGCCTGCAGTTCAGCGTCTTAACCACTTGAGCCACCGCAGCTCCTCAATGTAATGTACCCAGAGATAATTACAGGGGTGAACTCAAGTGTGGTGTAGAACGTAAGTTCAGGGACAGGGTTGAATTAGGATTTAATGTCTAGTGCAGAAAGGGCCACAGAGTTCTTTTACAATGTGTATAAAACAGTCCCCTTTTTGTTCCAGAGCCTGCTATACAGCCAAAATCTCCTGTGCCTTTAAAACAAACAGAAATTTAACTGGAGCTTTTCTATCCTCACCGCTCCATGCTGTGTAAACCCGCACCTGCTGAATTTAGGTCTGTCATTTTGGATTATAGGGTTAGGGTCTGGACTTCTTCTGGAATTACAACTGATCTCCAGACAGAGGTAGACTTTATGACATTACATCCCTGCTGAGTCCCTCCATGAATCCCAAACTCCACCCTCCCAAGGCATCGCCCTTCCAAATCTCCAAGAATGGTTTTAATGTTTTAATTGGGGGGGGTGGTAAATGTTTACCGCCTTGTGGATCCTGATTGGGTGGAAAGGTGGTACGAAAATGTTTTAATTAACTAAATAAGAATTTCCCCAACCAGAGTTTGCAACAGGATCTGCCGTGCCACTGGTAAAGGCATAGGGACGCTCTTCTTGAAGCTAATCACAGTACTGTCACACTGGGATACACCAATATAGCAGCCATTACACAACAGTAGTGTCACGTATGAGGTGACTATAAAGATTTTCTTAGTTTGGTTTGAAAGGATTAAGCAATTGAAATGCTCCAGAGATTTCAGTATATTCATTCCAGATTCCTGCAGAATGAGAAATATTTTAAAAACAATTGTCCACCTTCTAGTTGCCATCTTGCTTACCAGCTAATGAAACTGTGTAGTATAGAAGGGCCTGAAGGCTGGTCCAAGCCCAGGTGTGATCATGTGAAAATGAACTAGGTCCCTGGGAGCCAAACCAGTCTTGATGTAAGTCCCTAGCACCTTGTGCATCTGGTGCAGATGTGAATGAATGCCGCCGGCCCAGTGAGAAGCGAACCTGCCAGCACTCCTGTCACAACACATTGGGGAGTTTTATATGCAGCTGTCGCCCAGGCTACCGGCTCAGTTTGGACAGAGTGTCCTGTGAAGGTAAGGGTCTTTGTGTGGAGTCTTTGAGAGGTGTATCATTGGGTAACAGTTGAAAGGAACTCTATCAGTGTCACCCTAAGTAGAATGGCACTCTTGTAAGTCCATGGAACGCTGGATGGTGCTGTAAATGGCACAGATTCCTAGATACTAAGTAGAATTTAGGAGTGAAGTAGTCTGGGACTTCAAGGGAATGGGGCAGTCTAGCTGGTATTTGCTGTTCTTTTTAAAGGAATGCATAAGTGCTCCTTCTAGGGTGGGAGTGCTTAGCCTCAAAGATCACGTTCACAATTTCACAAAGTATCAGAAAGGCACAAGAAATCTTTTTGTCACTTACCCCTAGTGGTATGACTGGCTGTATCACATAACTCAGCTACTCCAAATAATATATTAGCACGGTGGTGGCAGTGGCAGAATTTAGTGTTTCCAACAACCAAATATTTCCATGTGAAGTATGCTAGGGAAATAAAATATCTCTACAACAGAAGTGATATCTAGAAGAAAGCCATCTAGATGTCTTGCCCTGCACAAGTAATAACTGAATTTATTGTGATGTAGTCTGGGGAAAAGCCATGAAGGATGTGCACTGCAACCAGTGGGGAAATGGTTAGGTATATGTGTGAGGCAAATGAGAAAAGAGATGGCCCAAACTACATCTGTACACTGGTCTCCCTTGATTCCCCCCCCCATAACAGCTGTAGGAATGGGGCTGCTATTTGATTAGGGAAACAGCTGTTGAGGAGGGGGCATTGTTTCATTTTTTCCTCCAACCTATATGCCTGATCTAATCCCCCCTTTCCCACAGCTGCTTATTGTCTCTTTGAGGTTTTAAGAATATGACGGGTATAGATGCTGTACCTGGCTTATTTCCTTGGCAGACGATTCCCTGATCATATTAGCTTCCCTTGCAGTTGCTTTTTTTTTGAAAAAATGGGGGGGGGGGGGGAGGCGGGGAACCTACATGAGATGTGTTCATAGATCTCCCACATAGTGATTTGCATCTTTGTTGGCCCTTATTTAGGGAAAATAGAAATGCAAAATTTAGGGTTAAAAATTATTTTAGGAGCTTTTAACTGTATTTCCTATTCTCTGTGGTTGATGGTTGTAGGGGAGGACAGTTTCCCACTAGGAATAGAAGGCTGAAGAGCTGATCAGTGTAAAGAGAATCAATGGCAGTGGCTTTTTTCCATATTTGTAGGAATCCCCCACAATATGAATATGGAATGAGAGAAACAACTAGAGTTCCTGAGTGTGCTGGAATGCATTTTGGTGATCAGCATATATATTTTGGATATACATAATATGGAGACTTCTGCCTTATTTGGCCTTCTCTCCTTCCTTCCCTCACTCCTTCCTCCCACAGGTTTTTCAAAGACCAGCCTGGCCCCATCTCCAATCCTGCAATCTCTCCAGCATCCACCAACTTTGCTACACCTTTCTCCAGAGTCTGTGCCACCTCTTCAGCCTCCCAGGGGCTCTCCTCCTTCCCGAGCTCCTGCTCCTCACAGTGTACCCAGAACTCAGTCCCCTTCCCTTGTCCTGTCCACTTCTTCTACGCTTCCATCTGCAGTCTCTACTGCTCGTGCATTCTCTGCACCCAGTCCTTCCCTTGATGCATCCTCTTTGCTAAGAACAGCCAGGCCCTCTGTGATGACGAGCCATTTGCCACCATCATTGCTACAGGAGGAGGTTACGGTACCCCCTCCCCCAAGTACCTCTGCTCCAACAGTTTCCCCTGCTGCCCTGCCTTCTGTCTGCTGGCATGAAGGGGTTCCTCATGAGAATGGCAGCTATTGGATGGAGCCAGGCTGCCTGAACTGCTCCTGTGAGGTATGTTGTCTGCACTAGGCTCCTCTCTCCCCTGTCTACTACTGTGCCTGTGCTGCTATCCTAATTAGGGATGGGCACGAACTGCATTTTTGCGGTTCGTTTCAGTTTGTGGCCGAACCACAAACCAATCCATGAACCAAAATGAACCAGGAGGTTGGTTTGCAAACTGAACCAGTTCATAGTGGTTTATGACCCCTGCTTTCTGCTCCCCATCACTTTTCATGGGGAGTAGAAAGCAGGAGTTCTCCCCACTAAAAGTGTAGGGGAATAGAAAGCAGGGGGTTAAATGACTTGGAGCCATTCAAAACCCTGCTTTCTGCTCCCCTCTGCTTTTGGTGGGGAGCAGAAAGCAGGGGTTTCCCTGCAAAAAGCAGGGGTTTCCCTGCAAAAAGCAGCTGGGAGCAGAAAGCAGGCGTTTAAATGGCTCCAAGCCATTTAAACTCCTGCTTTCTGCTTTTCATGAACTGCCACAAACTGCCTTAAAATTTATGGAAGTTTGTGACGGCTTGTCAGTTCACGAACCGGCAAAAAATTGTGCCCATCCCTATTCCTAATGGTAGCCTGTCTTTTCCTTCTGCAGGGCGGGCAAGTGCTGTGTATAGCAGTGACATGCCAGGTTACCTGCTCCCACCCAGTTCCTGCAGTGGAGGGGAAGTGTTGCCCTAGCTGCACAGGTGAGAGATGCAACCTCAATACTTATTAATTTTCTTAACACATTTCTATCTCAGCTCCCTATTCAACCCAAGGTGGCTGTTTGAATTTACTGTTGAAGCTATGGCCGAAGTTCCTTGATATTTTCTCAAGGCCCTTCTACTTTTCTGGGGGCCAGTTCCCACATTACAAAGTCCTTATGGCCACCAGAGATGTTCCAATCAAAGATGTTCTAGGCCTTCTGTGCTTGGAACCTAATTTCCAGGCACATGCTGGTGCCATTTGGTTTAGGACCATGGTGTGTAGGCTAAGCGCTGTTTTCCTGACCTGAAATGTTGGAAATGCTATTTGCCCTGTCATCATTTCCCCACTGAGGCAAATAGTGCCCAGCCAGTGCTGTCTCAGTTGCAGAAATGGCACAGTGGGATTAAGACCCTCCTGTGCACCACGGTCCTGATCCAAATGAGACCTGCACTTGTGTGGGATTTATGTTCCAAACATGGACATCTGACTGGAGGTCCTTGTGGCAGCCATGAGGATTTTGTAACGTGTGCATTGGTGCTTAGTGTATTCCAAGGATCAGTTTTTAGAGGAATATGTTCACAATGATCTCTAATGAAAATGTGAAGTGTAAATTGAACCATCCTTCCGAAGCAAAGTGTCTTGGGATAAGAAAAACCTCATTTTTGTCACCAACTATTCTGTATGTTCACAAATCAAAGCTGAGGTTTCCTGAGTTCTTTCCTTTGACTTATTAGCAGTTTCTCTTCAATGAGTCTTATAAATGTTCTTTCTTTCTTTCCCTGTTCACGTGAAGGAGACCTTATGAGTGGCTTTGGCTAGTTTGAACCAAAATATATCTCCACTTATCTCATGCTACAATTCAGTTCTCCATTCTCACACACCCAGACAATTACATCTAGACATTTCCTGTTTCTCAGCTGTAACCTCTGAACAACTTAATGCTTCAGCCAAGTTTTTATTGAATATAAATGGTACACCAGACCCCAAAGGGTGGGGTGGGGGAATTGAGAAGAAGATGATAGTTTAACGCCCTCTCTGATTCCTACCCCCTGCAGGCTGTTTGTATGATGGGATTGCCAGAGCCGAGGGGGATGTTTTTGCTCTCTCTGATGAGAACTGCACAGTCTGTGTCTGCCTGGTAAGTCTCGGAGCGTTCAAGGAACACAGGGTCTTGGTTGAGGCAAAGAAATCACTTAATGTGCTACCCTCCATGCCTTTCACAGGAGACAGAGTTCCATGGAATGGGTATTGCATGTGCTCTGAATTAGTGGCATGTACGAGTGTGCAAAGCGTGGGTCAAACATTTTATGATAATCCAGGGAGTTTGGGCAGGAACAGTGGAGGGGATTTGAGCTCTTTGCTCCAGGGCAGGAATGGCTGTCTTTGCTGCTAGTGTGCAACATCCCACCTGCAATTGATTTTTATCTGGCCTATGTGACTGTTTCCTAAGCATGTAAACAAAGTGTCAAACTCATAAGAGAAGGGAGGATAATACAATGATAGAAGAGCAAACCTAGGCCAGCTACAGCTTCCTCTTCTGCCTTTGTGCCTATGTTGAATCTTCTCAGGGAAGACTCCTTTCAACTCCAAGTCTGACAGTGACCTCAGAGATGGTCAATCCCCCAAGCTGTGAATCCGGAAGGGGGTCCCTTTCATAAGAGGCCATGCCCCATGCCTATTCAGCCTTTGTTGCTGCCAAACTTTCCCACACAGCTGCTGGAAAGTATCCAGATGTAAGCCCCAGAAACAACTCTGTTCCATAGAATGTTCAGATCCATTGTAAGAAAGGAAGCCTTTGCATGGTGAAATATACTGGGTTCAGACGCGTTCAAGTGATGCGGAGGCCAGGGTCAGCGGTTCACTGGGAGGAGCGGTCTGGAAGAGCTCTTTGGAGGTTGCTGTTGCAGTGCTCGGGGCTGCGGGAGAGTCAGGCTCGCTCATCAGGATCCCACCTTCGTCGCCAGTGAAAAGTACTGAGACTGATGCATCGTTGAGTGATTTCAGCTCATACTTTTCTTAGTGATTCCAAGACTTGAGATACAAGGGCAAGCCCGAGGGCTGCTTAAATGCACATATAAAAATACACCCACGCACCCATGATTGGCTTATTTACATTAACCTCCTTAGATAGGTTCCCTGGAGGACTGGGATTATCTGATAGGCTGTTTCTAGGCTCCTTAGTCCCTATTGTTTCTGGGAGTGAAGCTCTGGTTGTTCTGGAGACTGTGTGCTTGGTACGACCATGTGCGTGATCTTCTGTCGGAACACAACAATCCCCAAGCTAAGTCCTTTTGCAAGTACAGTTCAGGCTCAATACATAACACCCCTCCCCCCAAAGTTCAGAGCCTCTTCAACTGACAAAGTCCTTTAAGTAGGCTGGCCTGTGTCGCTCACGGTTCAAGTGGCGTGGTTCTGACGATGGGGCCAAGGTCACTGGGACAGAGTCGGATGGTCCCGCCGGGGAACTGGTGGGCAGTGGCGGGGTAGGTGATATCTTGGGGCTGCCTGTGACAGCTGACTCTGGTGTTCCACCTGCACTTTCTGATGGCTGCTCACTGGCTATTGGTTGCTCGCTGGCTGTAGGCAGGTCCCTCTCAGCCTCCAGTTCCAGGGGGCTTGGCAGCTCCTCCTCGCTGTCCTCCGGGAGCGTTGCGGGCGGACTGGGTATTGCTGGAAGGAGCCGGCGGCAGAGCTGGTCAATGTGCCTCTGGAGCAGCTGGCTGTCTTCTGTGGACACCTTGTACGAGAGGGGCCCTGTTACTCTGACAACCCTGGCAGGAACATAGACGGGGTTGCCGGGGAAGAATCCACATTGCACTGTTTGACTCTTGGGGGCTGGGCTGTATTCCGGAGTGTAGACAGGTGTAGGTCTGGGTGTAGACGGGTCTGAGTGTAGATGGTCTAGCCGGGTTGTGAGGCGTTGGCCCATGAGGAGTTCTGTGGGGTTGCACGGAAGTTCCGCGGGGCTGCGGCTGGTGGTGGCATTCGGGGTTATCCGGTGACCAAAAGACGAAGGCCACTAGTCAGTGGTCCCAGTCTCCTTGGACGATCCAGCATTGTCCTCACCATCTGCTCTGCCTGTCCATTGGTTGCGGGGTGGAAGGGAGCTAAGTGGATGTGCCAGATGGCATAGTAGCCCATGCACTCCTGGAACTCGGCTGAGGTGAAGGCCATCCCGTTGTCCATTACGATGGTGTTGGGTATGCCATGGGTGCTAAAGATCCGCAAGAGGGCACGAATGGCAGCCCGGGACGGGGTGGAGGGGACCGGTACCACTTCCAGCCATTTGGTGTATGAGTCCATCGCAATGAAGAAGATCTGTCCCTGGAAGGGCCCCGCAAAGTCTAGATGAAGCTGGGCCCATGGCTTGTGGGAGGACTGCACTGGGGCCCTGGGGAATCCAGCCGGGACTCTTGGCATGGCTGGCAGTGCTTTACACAGTCCTCGATTTCACTGTCCATGCCTGGCCACCAGACGTAGCTGCAGGCCAGCGCCTTCATCCGCACAATTCCTGGGTGTGTTTTGTGTAGTGTGGCTAGTACTTGCTAGCGCAACGGTGCTGGCACCAGCACCCTGCTCCCCCACAACAGGCAACCATTGTGCACAGACAGCTCATCCCAGTGGGAGGAAAATGCAGCAAATTCGTGGGCCACCCAGCTGGTGGGCCATCCCCTCCCCACCCAGTCCAAAATGTGGGAGAGGACACGGTCTCTGGCAGTGCGGTGTGCCAAATCAGAGACCAGTAGGGGACGGTCGGGGAGGGCCTCAAGGAGCAGGATGTGATGCACCGGGGCCGGGTTGCAGGCAGGGAGCGGCAGCCTGCTTAGGGCGTCAGCATGGTCCATGGCCTTCCCAGGGCAGTAGACGAGTGAGTACTGGTAACCGAACAGGAAAATCGACCAGCTCAGCACCCTAGGGGACAGCATCTGCGGCGTCTGGTGGTCCGGGGCCAGCACACCCAGCAGTGGCTTGTGGTCGGTCGCGATGGTGAAGGGCAGCCCATAGAGGTAATCGTGGAATTTCTTGATGCCCGCCACGATCGCCAGGGTCTCTTTGTCAATCTGAGCGTAATTCCTCTCTGCCGAGGACAAGGTGCGGGAATAATATGCCACGGGAACCTCTCTGCTGTTGAGAAGCCGGTGGCCCAGGACCGTGCCGACCCCATAGTATGACCGGTAAAGTCTCTTCGAAGTGCACCAGGACAGTTTTTGAAGTGAACAGCTCCTTGATGTCCTGGAACGCATTGGCCTGTTGCTGGCCCCAGACCCAAGGGGCTCATTTGTTGAGGAGCCGGTGCAGTGGCTCCGCGACCGCAGCTCTGTGGGGCAGGAAGGAATGATAAATGTTCAGTAGCCCTAAGAAGGCCTGAAGTTCTGGTTTGGACATGGGGGCTGGCGCATTGACGATGGTGCTCACCTTGTCTGGGGCCGGATGGATGCCTTGCACATCTCTGGAGAACCCCAGGAACTCGACCCTCAGAACTCCCAGAAGGCATTTTTCCCTTTTGACCTTGAGCCTGGCTGCTTGAAATCGTTGCAGGACTGTGTGCAGCCTTGTGACGAAGTCCTCCTCAGTGGGTGTGGTGATTAAAACATCGTCGAAGAAGGGCTGTACCCCGGGAATCCCTTTAAGGAGAGAGTCCATTAGGTTCTGAAAAATTTCTGGGGCCACACTGACCCCAGACTGTAGCCTCCACACTCGTAACACACCCCTGTGTGTCACAATTGTCTGCGCTTCCTCCGTTGCATCGTCAACTGGGAGCTTTTGCTATGCCTGAGCTAAGTCCAGCTTACCAAAGACCTTGGCGCCCGCCAGAGCGGCCAGGACATGGCTGACCACTGGGACAGGATATGCGTGGTCTTGTAGAGCCTTGTTTATTGTACATTTATAGTCCACGCAGACGGGGACGTCCCCGTTGGGCTTTACTGGAATCACAATTGGGGTTTCCCACGTGGCATGGGGTACCAGTTTTAAAACTCCTTGGGCCACCAGCCTATCCAACTCTGCATCAATCTTAGGTTTAAGAGCGAACGATGCGTGCCTGGCCTTCAGCCTTATGGGCCGAACTGCCAGGTTTAGTTGTAGAGAGACCGGGGGTCCAGTGTAATGGCCGAGCGTCCTGTCACATACCACCGGGAACTCGTCACACACTATCTGGAAGTCTTTGGTGGCCACATGGTGCACCTCGGTTACCCTGAACCCTAGTGGCGCGAACCACGCAAGTCCTATGAGGATCATACAACTGCCCCTCACTACCAGCAGGTCCAAAAGTCCATCAAATTGCCGGTACTGCACTCGGAACTTTCCCTCCCCCAGGATGGACACCTCGTTTTGAGTGAAGCCGACAGGCCGCAGGGGAGGACCCTCATTGGGGCAAAGCCTGTGGAACGTGTCCTCCGAGATAATCAAGATGGAAGACCCAGTATCTAGCTCCATTGAGCAGGGGCTTCCCTCGAACAAGATGGTGACCATAATTTTGTCAGGGGTCTCCCGGGGCAAGTTCAATACCTGGTGCTGCTGGACAGAGGTGGTGTGTAGCTCCGCGGAGTCCCACTTTCTTTTGAACGGCATGCACGGGCAATGTGACCAACCTTCCTGCAGGTCCAACACATGGCATCTCTGAAACGGTAGGATCTCCGCTCGTGAGGGTCCCCACAGCTGGTGCACAGTGCCACTGGTGTGCATTTGGTGGTGCGACGTGGAATGGAGCGGTGGGGGTCGTGGCGTCCTGGTCATGGTAGTTGCAGTACCTCTTCACTGTCGGATGCGTTGGAGGTTGATGAAACGGCGGCCTGGTGCGCGGTTGTGGCCTGGCGATCGGTCTTCTGGTGGCTGCCCTCTCTGGACTTCTTGAATGCTGCTGCCACTTGGAGTGCCTTTTGGAGGTCTATGTTCACTTAGCCAGTGAGCTTGTGGTGAAGTTTCTCATCCCTGAGACTGAACACAAAACGGTCTAGGAGCACTTCCTCGAGTGTGGCGAACTTGCAATGGAGGGCCAGTTTACACAGGGCAGCCACATAAGCCAAGGCCGGTTCACTGGGCCTTTGGTTCCTCTCGAAGAATTCCATGTGGCGAGTCATGCAGGTGGGCTTGGGTGCGAAGTGGTCTGTGAGCACCTTGATGAGACCGTTGAAGGTGGCAAGCTTTCGCGTGGTCGGCGCGCTGAGGCTCTGGGCCACCTCCTGGATATTGATCCCGCAGGAGAGCCTTCTTTTTCGCGGCGTCATCAGTGCCTTGGAATTCCACTAAATAGGTTAGGCGTTCCACCCAGGATTCCCATTTTTCTGGATGAGCGGGGTCGAACTCCGGCAGGATTCCTGGAGCGGCAGCCATTGTCTTCGGAGCGGTGCAATGCTTGGTGCTCAGGGGCTCGTTGTGCGCTGCTGTGCTGGTTGAAGCCAGCTCGCTCATCAGGATCCCATCCTCGTCACCAGTGAAATATACTGGGTTCAGACGCATTCAAGTGATCAGCTCATAGTTTATTAGTGATTCAGCAAGAGAAAGAAGACTGAGAAACCCCTGGCCGAAGCCGGGTATTTATGCCTGAAAAAGGTCACACCCAAAACACACCCTACTCCCAACTACAGGCTATTTACACTACATTGTTTCCCAACTGGGTAACTCTAGGATCCCTGTCACCCTACTAGTCCATTCTAGGATCCTAGCAAGCTATTGTTATGCATCCCCAAGCTAAGTTCTTTTGCAAGTACACTTCAGGCTCAATACATAACACATGGGGTGATTTATAGAAGAGATGTACCAAAGGCCATCACCAATCAAAGTATTTCAGGAGGACCACTTAGATTTCAATCAGATTGGTTGCTAATGGTCATTGTAACACCAGTCCATTGTCTGTTCTTCACTGAAGAAAATGCTTATGTGTTGGCCAGTAAAGATGGTTGGAAATGAAGTTGGATATGTCTGGTACGTTGAACTTTGGCAAGTCTTCACTATAATCTTTGTTGTTTCTTGATTCCAGGCAGGCAATGTATCCTGTATCTCTCCTGAATGTATACCCACTCCATGCCCCAGCTCTGCCCAGACGGACTGTTGTCCTTGTCAGCCAGGTAAATCTCTCTGAACATCCTACACAAAGCTCATTCACCAGCTTTCAGACAACCTGGGTACTCTCCTTTCCACAGGAAGAAGCTGATGGCTTCCGCATAGGGACAGAATTGCTGTTTATTTAAAACCTTTCTAAACTGCTTTTCCACCCAAATAGGAGTCTCAAGGCGGAAAATATCAGCTCATTAAAAATATTTTAGAAGCATTTAAAATGTACGAGTAAAATATTTTACAGAATAATAAAAGCACAGAGACATAGAAGTACAACACAACCAAGGAAGAGGGCCAATAAGTCAGAGGACACAGAACTGGAAGGCCAACACAACCTTCCCAACTCTGTTACTTGTTCTTGGTGAAGTTGTTTTGTTGACAGTGGTCTTTCCATCCAAATGGCCTTGTTGAGACAAAAAAAAATCATCCTTGGTACCATTTCAGACTGCAGATGGGTATTACATTTTTACATAATCGTCTGCTTTAAAAAAATCTACACTAGCATGTCAGGGAGAAAACAAGGTTACAACACTGTGTCCTGTCATACTAGTTTCCTGTGGGCAAGATCTGGAGAGTGTCCAATTGAGCAGTCCTCCACCTGTACCTGGAAATGTGTAAAGGTAAAGGTAAATAGTTGACTTTATCATAGTAGACTTTGTCACAAGGTATTAAAACAGTCTCCATGAAATCCTGACCAGAAGGACAACGTAGATAAGAGCTGTTTTCCAGTAGGTAACCTTCTGGATGGCTGCTCATATTTTCTGTATTTCCTGTCATAGATCTTCTGCAGCGATACTGACCCTACCATTGTTTTCTTCTGTAGCAGAATGCCATTTCCGTGGACTGACATATCCAGAAGGCGCTGAGTTCAGCCTGGATGGAGATGACTGTACCACCTGTGTGTGTAGGGTAGGTATCAAGTAGTCCCCTGAGGTCCTTCTCCCAGAGGATTTGGTGGACATTCTGACACACACAAGCCGTTCAAAGTTTGCCATTTCTCCTAGTAGGAAGCAGATAGATGAAGAGGAATTAGAAAGGATGAAATCCAGCATATGCATAGTTTTGAGATTGCATGTGCTTCTTCAGGGAAGCGATATATCCTGACTATTAGGAGAGTGCATTTGTTTTGCTCTGGTTGAGTGTTGATTCACAGGTAAGCAGTCTCATGTCAGCCCATGTAAAATCTCCTTATCCCTTTGATGTTAAAAAGGAGACATAAAATTTCTCTCTGTTTTGCTGGTTAGGTTATGTCAGTTAGCAGGATATCCTAATTCCTCTTCTGTGTACATTTGAAGGTGTCTGCTGCCGAGAGCTGAGAAATAACTTTGTGTATTTATCGCTGTTAACAAGGTTCATTTAAAAATGGGCTGTGCCCCTTTGATGACCTACAGGCTCTGCATAGTGACGGACAGCAGAGGCAACATGAACAGTGCTGGAGAATTAGGACAACCCTGTGCAATCCTGAAGTTACAGGACCCTAGTTTAAGCAAATTCAGTAAGGAAGAGGTGGTGGAGGGCTGTCTTGATTGAGTATCCAAATCCCTGTCATTTTTGTATGGCACGTGTGCCCCCCACGTCTTTTCTTCAGCAAGGTGAAGTTGACTGCTCCTTCATTCCCTGTCCCACTCTGGAGTGTCCCCGAGATGACTGGCTGCTGGTCCCAGGGCAGTGTTGTTACACTTGCCGAAAGGCTGCACCCATGACAGGTAAGATCACAAACACCAGCACATTTTTCACATCACTGTGACCAGCAGTATGAAGATACCTGTAAGCATGAGTTATTAGCAAAGGACAAAAATGCTCATTTAATCCCACCCTTCCTCCAAGGAACTCATGATTCTCCCTTCCCCTTTTTACCCTCACAACAGCCCTGTGAGATACTTTAGGCTGAAAGAGAATGACTCGCCCAAAGTTACCTGGTGTGAAGTTTATGGCTGAGTGGGGATTTGAACCCAGGCCTCCCGGGTCCTAATTGGGAACTCTAAGCTCTAAATCTGAAACTCTAAACACACTCCAGTGTGTTACACAAAATGTATCCCTTCTCCCCATCTAGATACACCTTGTTTTCCCCTGCTGAGGTTTAGTTGTGCAAAACCTCCATTTCATTGTCTCTGCCTCCTTGGTCAGGTTGCTTCGTGGATGACAATGGAGTCGAATTTCCAGTCGGACAGATTTGGTCACCGGGTGATCCCTGTGAGTTATGCGTCTGCCAGGTGAATGATAACCTGCTCTACTTCACTCTTTTTAAGCCTTTCCATCACTTATCACATGAATGATATTAGCTTCTGGTTGCTTTTGCCACATTCCCTTAGCCAAGGCGAGGAAAATCCTATGGATCCTTTGGGGGTAACATAGTTCTAACCCGAATCCTTGTGTGCCTTTGTACACTGAGGGCCCCTGTATAGTCGGAAGTGAAGATTTAGGGCTTGGATCGTAGCTACTTAGGAAGCTTTTGAATCCTGAATTTTATGTATTTTTAAAATAAAATAAACTACACCCAACAGTCCTATGCTTTCTTCTTTGTTCTTTGACCTCTTTATCTCACAGAGCCTCAACCTCTGACATGTCTGTCTGCCACAGCTTTCTTGATGCGAATATGATTATCTGCTTTTATGTCAAAGTGGACAGAGCGGGCATTATAAAGCCCCTCTGGCTACTATGGGTTTAGCTGTAGGGTTTTCAGAGAGGTTGGACAGCTATGGGCTGTGCTATATGTGTACTAAGCAGGCTTTAGAATTTTAATAAAAAGGTAAAGGTTCCCTTGCTCGAAAGCCAGTCGAATCTGACTGGGGTTGCGGTGCTTATCTCCATTTCAAAGCCGAAGAGCCAGCGCTGTCCGAAGACATTTCCGTGGTCATGTGGCCAGGGCGGCGGCCCCTCCCCGACAGCCCCTCATTCGATAAAATGCAATAGCCAAATGCGACTGTGCCTTGATATATTAAAAAAAAAAGGAGGGGGGCTTAGTTGCCTATTGGGGGGGGCAGGGTCTCGAAGGGGCTTTTGAAGCCCTCCCTGGTCCTGACTGTCAAAGGCCTGACCTGCTTAATCCCTCGCCGAGCCCTGTCTATTGGTTGCCCAACCGACCAATTAAGAAGGGGGGGGAAGGATGCAGCAAAATGCAAGGAAACCTACAAGACCCCGGGAAGCAGGTGTGGTGCAGACGGTGGCAACCGGCTCCCACCGGCCAGACTGGTAGAAAAGCGGTGCCCACCCCCACCCCCAGCCAGGCCCACCACTGTGGGTGGGCAACAGGGTGCAGCTGTGCCGGGCTGTCACGCCACCCCTGCGGGAAAGCTGGTCTTGACAGTTCCCTTGGGCGCCGAGGGTGGACCACTCCCTCCCCGGCATCTTCCCCGCTGCCCTGATCCTGCAAATCCTTAAAACCTACCCCCCCAAAAAATCCCCATTTTCTTCTTTCAATAATAAATAATAAATAAAATAAATAAATGATAAATTTAATAAAGAATGTTAATACTAAGGCTATAAGCAGCTATATAATAAGAGTATACTGTTACGTACACGTCTTGGGCTTTCAAATGACAAGCTTTGGGTGCAAACTGGTTAAACAATGGTATGACTACATTTGGAATATTGTATCCAGTTCTGGTTTCTGTATGTCAGAAAAGATATTGCAGAGCTGGGAAAAGTATAGAAGAGAGCAACCAAGATGGTGAAGGGGATGGAGCACCGTTTCTATTAGAGCCTTGGACTTTTTCAGTCTTGAAAAAGGACAGTTAAGGGGGAACATGATACAAGTTTATAAAATCATCCATGGGCTGGAGAAAGCGGATAGAGTACTCCCCCCATAATATTTGAACGTGGGTACCTCACGAAAGTTGATGGGCAGTAGTTGCAGGATAGTAAAAGGAGGAGAGAGCCATCAGTGGCTACTAGCCGTAGTGACAAAAGAGAACCTCCACATACAGAGGCAGTGCTGAATATCAAAGTTAGGAGGCAGCACCAGGCTTTGGCCTCTGTTGTCCTGCTTGTTGGCTTTCCAGAATAAGTGGCTGACCACTGTGTGAAACAGGTTTCTGGACTAGATAGACCACTGGTCTGATCCAAGAGGGTCTTCTTATGGTCTTAGCTGATATTGAGGGAGATGATATTTGTTGCTGTGAGAAAGATATACATTACAAATTCAGCCTGCTTCTGTGGCAAAGGATCTGTGCAACTGAACAGTCCATCCTCAGTAGTCTAGCTGTTTGTGCTGTGGGTTTCTGTGAAGTTTTTTTCCATTGCAGGCAGATGGTTCAGTGAGCTGCAAGAGGACAGATTGCCTGGAGACATGTCCTCATCCAATACGGATCCCTGGCCAGTGCTGCCCTGACTGCTCAGCAGGTAAATCTCATCTTCACAGAAACCTATTCCCGTCTCTGAAAAATCAGGTATCTTTCTGCCTGACAAAATAGAATGTCAGATTTCACAGAAAACTCAAATTTATTTGTGGGGGTTTTTTATTGCCTTGCTTTTTTTGATTGTATAAAACATGTTCACAGAACTTTGAATTACACACACACACACACAAAAACCTTTATTGGCATGAAAGCAAAAAACATCTTGGAAATATGGGAAAATACTAAGATGCATCAGTCACTTACACTTGGCTATTCAAGCCTCGTCTTCTGATTGCATAATATAAAAATTTTGCAACAGCCTCCATTATTTCGCAATTAGAATTAAACAGAAGAAAGTGAACAATTGAGTCATCAGAGTGCCAGCTCTCACCCTCTAGAAATGGAGTAATAAAACGAGATACTTTTGAGTGATGAACAGTGAGGTTTGCAAGATGCTGTTTGTCAGGTACAGAAACTGACTTATGAGGATGGATACTTAATGTTCTTATACAACACATATGTAACATGGCATTAACAAGATGTGATGATGACCATTGGTTTAAAAAGACTTAAAAGGAGAGTGAACAAATTAATAAAGGACAGGTCCATGGCAACAAGCCATGCTAGTTAAATGGAACCTCCAACTTTACGGGGGGGAGGCTCGTGCCCTTCATGTGAACCTCCCAGAAACATCTGACCATTCCATGGACTTTTGGTCTGATCCAGCAAGGCTCCCAAACAAACATGTACAAATGCTCGACCAACTATTGCAAATTGAGGATTGAGTTCATAGAGGACTAGAGAATGGGAACAGAATTACTCAGTGTATGAATTCTGGAAAATTGGAATATAGGAACAACGATTAATAACTGGCATCCAACAGACACAATGGATAGCTTTAGTAGCAGTCCATGCTCTGAGGAAGACAGTATGAAATAAAGCTGAAGAAATCCAAAGTCTTTGTCTGTTCATTGGAATTCAGGATGGTGATCTTTCCCATTGGGATATTTTGAACCTTTTTTTTAATAGGTGTTTTATACGCTTTTGCTATCTTTTCTGGAGTCCAATACCACCTATGAAATATTTTAAATATATTTTCTTTAAACGTTACGGCTCTCATCATTTTCATCGCTTTCCATATTTTTGCCAGTCATCCGTTTGTATAGCCTTTCCTAGATCTTTCATCCACATAGTCATTGTGTTTTTTATCGTTTCATCTTGTAAGTGCTGCTCTAGTAGGCAATTATAAATTTTTAAAATAAATTTATCATTTGAGGAGAGCCACATTTTTTCCAGATCTGATTTTGATTTCATAAATTCCACTGATTTGTCTTTATTATACCTATCTTGTAGTTGAATTTGTTCCCACCATGTAAGATTAATGTTTTTGACCTTTAGATTTTCTATTGGTCTTAATTTGTTATTTTAGTCCAGCAACGTGTCGTATGCTATAGCTTTTTCTTTAGTCATTAGTTTGGGATTAATAAAGGATTCTAAGGGTGATACCCATCTTGGAATTTTTTGTGTAGTGTTTATCTTTTATCTCTTTCCATATTTTTATTAGTGCTGATCTAAAGATATGGTTGTGGAAGTTCTTATGTACCTTATATTTTCCATACCAAAGGTACGCATGCCAGCCTTCTAGATCCAACGTTCTCCAATTTTCTAGTTGTATCCAATCTTTAATCCAGCACATAGATGTCACTTGGTAATAGAGATGCCAGTTTGTACACCTAGTCCTCTTTCTTTTTTATCTTGCAGAACCTTTAGTTTAATTCATGCCCTTTTTGGGTACCAAATAAATTTCCTTGTAATTTTTTCTAGGTCTGTCAAATACTGAGGTTTTTTTCAATATTGGTAAGTTTTGTACTAGGAATAGAAAGTGAGGCAAAATGTTCATTTTGATTGTTGATATTCTTCCCATTAAAGATAATTGAAGATCTTTCCACTTATTTAAATCTCTTCTTATTTCCTCTTTTAATTTATTATAGTTATTTTCTACCAACATACTATTTCTATTAGTTATAGTTATTCCTAAATATTTAACTTTGCTCGTTACTTGTATTTTTGTCGTTTCTTGAAGTTCATTTATTATATGTTGCGTCCAATTTTTTGTCAAGATTTTTGTTTTTTGAAATTTATTTTTAAACCTGCCAATTTTCCATATTCTTGAATTTCCTTTAATAAGCTTACAGCTGATTGTAATGGCTTTTCTGTGATAAACACTAAATCTTCAGCAAATGCTTGTAGCTTGTATTCCTCTTTTTATTTTTAATCCTCTTATTTTTTCATTTTGTCTAATGTTGTCATTTAGCGTTTCTAGTACAAAAATAAATAATAGCGGAGATAGTGGGCATCCTTGTCTAGTGCCTTTCTGTATCTCTATTTTCTTTGTTGTTTCTCCGTTCACTAAAACATTTGCTTGTTGATTTTTATATATTGCTGATATCACCTTTATAAAATTATTTTCAGGGGGAAAGGATGAATTACAATATTCTCACTAATCTTTTAAGAGAAAATGGAATCTTGTATAGATGGCTTATCCCAGAAGGAGTATTATCTCTCCTTATATATAATTGAGTAAGAACATTCTATATGAACATTCTAAATTTGGCCCCTTTAGTGTATGGACGCTTGAACTGTCAGTCAGAAGACGCTGGCTGGGTTGACTGGCTGCTTTGTGCAGTCCCGCCCAGCGTTTCAAGGTCTTTTGCATATGGAAGCTGATTGGACTTCACTGCATTCCACACCTCAAACTCACCCCCCTCCCCGCAAGGCAGTTGGAATGTCAGTTGCATATGGAACCTTCAAGGTCTTTTGCATATGGAAGCTGATTGGACTTCACTGCATTCCACACCTCAAACTCACCCCCCTCCCCGCAAGGCAGTTGAACTTCCAGGATATTTTAGGGATGAAGCCTGCTGAGGGTGGGGTCTGAGGAGGAGGAGGAGGAAGAGGGGGACCTCAGACAGATACAATGCCATACTCCCCACCCTCCAAACAAGCTGTTGCCAGTCTCCAGGTGACAGCTGGAGAGCTCTTAAAGCTCTGGTGCTACTTCAAAGTGCTGCAATTTATTGACAGAGTAGTGTTTTGGCAAATCTTTAGGAATTGTTTGGTGCATTTACGATGGGGCACCCACCCAGAGCCTCTGGCATTTTCTCACTCTGCTGACATCAAAACCAATTTAAGGCAAAATAAGAGGCTACTGAGAGGGGAGGAAATAAAGTTGCCAGCTTTAGGTATGGAAATTCCTGGAGATTTGAGGAGTGGAGGCCGGAGAGGGGGACCTCAGACAGGTTACAGTGCCATAGACTCCACCCTCCAACCCAGCTATTTGCTCCTGGGGAAGTATTGTTGCCAATCTTGGCCCAGCACCCATCACACCATTCTCTTCAACCCCCTGCTGTGCAGCTGACTTTCCCCTAGGTTTGCCAATCTCCAGGTGGGACCTGGAGATCTCCCACTGCTACAATTGATCTCCAGATGACAGAGATCAGTTCCCCTGAAGAAAATGGATGCTTTGGAGGGTAGACCCTATGACATTATAACTGCTGAGTCCTTCTGCCCCCCCCCAATGCTGCCCTCTACAGAATCTACCCCCCAACACTCCAGGTATTTCCCTCCTTATAGCTGGCAACCCTACTTTCCCCTCAGTGCCTGATGGTAGGCAACTTAGTTTGGTCCAGTCACCTACTTTGCCCTTTGGGAGAAAACATATTGGGGCCAATCCTGATAGGGTTGCCAACTCCCGATGGGAAATTCCTGGAGATTTGAGGGATGGAGCCTTAAGAGGGTGAGGTTTGAGGAGGGGTGGGACCTCAGACAGGTACAATGCCATCGACTCCACCCTCCAAACCACTCAGTCTCTCATGGGGAACCATTGTTGCCAATCTCCAGGTGAGGGCTGGAGACCACTCAAAATTACAATTGCTCTGCAGAAGGGAGGGCGGAAGTCAGCTGAAGTCAAAGGGGCAGATAATGGTAGGTTGATGGTTAGCTGGGAAGGAGATGGGGTTGCCAACTCCAGGCTGGCAAATTCCTGGGGATTTGAGGGGTGGAGCCTGGAGAGGGTGGGGTTTGCGGAGGGGTGGGACATCAGACGGGTAGAATGCCATAGACTCTACCCTCCAAACCAGCCATTTCGTCCTGGGTAACAATTGTTGCCAATTTCCAGGTGAGGGCTACAGATCACTCAAAATTACAACTGCTCTTCAGGGAGCAGAGATCAGTTCCTCTGGAGAAAACAGTGGACTCTGCCATTATACCCTGCTGAGGTCACCACAGCAAAATGACACTGTTTGCCCAAAGCCAGAGCACTCCCCCAGAGCCTCTTTCTAGATCTCGTTGTATTTATTTCCACAACGGGCTTTACTGCTAGTTCTCCTATAAAGGAAAAGGGCAAAAAATAAATTCTGTTTTTAAATTAGAAAATTTCCTGGAAAAGGAAGGAGAAAACTTGGGTTGGCAAAAAAGAGAAGAAGAAGAAGATGATGATGACGAGGAAGAGGAAGAAGGAGAATATGCAGAGAGACGAAAGAACAAGAGAAAATCAAGGAGAAAGAGACTATGAATTGATAGAGAAAAAGACCTTGATAAGAAAGAAGGAAAACAAAGATAAAGAAATAAATCGACAACCAAAATACAATTCCAAATGCAAACCAGATACCAAAACAGGAACCAAAATAACAGCAGTAAAAATAAACACAATGGCAATTAGAAACTTAAAGCTACTCTCAATAAATGTAAACGGTCTAAATGGACCGCAGAAAAGAAATAGAATTTTCCATCAATTAACCAAAACAAAGGCAAACATAATCTGCCTACAAGAAACTCATATAAAAGAAGAAGAGGATAAATACTTTAAAAGGAAAAAATTAGGTACAGCATTTATTGCTTCAGATAAGGTAAAAAAGAGAGGGGTGGCAATATATGCAAAAGAACATTTAAATCCACAATTTATATATGGTTCAGAGGATGGAAGAATCATAGCTATAACAATCATGATAAATGGAAAAGAAACACTTATCATAAATATTTATGCCCTAAACCAAAGTCAGGGAAGTTTTTACCAAGCAATTAGAAAGATAATAGAAAATAAAACAGTTGAAAATATTTGTATAATAGGTGACTACAATGCAATCTTTGATCCAAAAAAGATAAGAAAAAACAGAAGAAAAATTAAAAATCGGGAATGCTTCTACCCAAATCATTTTTGAAACTAGCAGAGGAATATAACTTGATAGATGCATGGAGAACTAGAAATATTGACAAGCAAGACTACACTTACTACTCTGATAGACATAAATCTTGGTCTAGAATAGACATGAGATGGATTTCAACAACAATGTTAAAAGATTTAAATGATGCTGAAATTCTTACAAATATTTACGCGGATCATAATCCAATACAATTACTGTTACAGCAAAAGAAAAGAAGTACGAGATGGAGAATAAATACATATTGATTAAGAGATAAAGAATTTATAATAAAAACAAATATAGAAATACAAGAATTTTTCAAAAATAACACATCAAAAGAGACACCAATTAATATTATTTGGGACGCTTTTAAAGCGTTTTTAAGAGGCTGGTTTATAAACCAAGATGCTTGGAAAAGGAAACAAAGAAGAGAGAAAACCGAAAAACTAGAAACTAGAATAAAGAAAGAAGAAAATAAGATAAAGAAATCAACAAGAATAGAAACAACAAAACTAAAACTCAAAACATTGCAGCATGAATTGAATATACTATTATCACAAGAAATTGCAAAAAAGATAGAATACACAAAACAATTTGTTTTTGAAAATGCTAATAAACCTACAAGATGGTTAGCTTAAGAAAAGAAAGAGATAAGAGAACTATTTTGGCATTGCAAGATGAGAACCAAGAAATATAATATAGAAGGTTTAAAAAAGATTATACAACAATATTATAGTAATTTGTATCATAATCCACAACACATAGAGAATTACTTGAAACAATACAACACAAAAAAGTTTAATGAGGAACAGAAATTTTTTTTAAATGACCCGATAACACCATATGAAATAACAGAGGCATTAAGAAAACAAAAAAAGAATAAATCACCGGGTCCAGATGGGATACCAGCAGAAGTCTACCAGAAGTTTGAGGAACAAATTCTTTTACCATATAAAGAAGTACTCCAAAAGATTGCGGAAGAAACATCTATGCCAAAAACCTGGGAAGATGCTCTAATATCCTTGATACAAACCTCTTGGAAGAGAAAGAAATACAAAATTATAGACCTATTTCCTTACTTAATGTGGACAATAAAATTTTCGCAAATATTTTGGCAACAAGATTTTTAAAAGTCCTCATACAAGTGATCCATCAAGACCAAGCGGGCTTTCTCCCCAAAAAGACAAATGAAAAATAACATATGGTTATTAATATAATAGAGTACTTTGAAGCACACCCAGAGAAACAAATGGCAACGATCTTTTTAGACGCCGAAAAAGCTTTTGATAATGTTTCTTGGACCTTTCTTAAAATGAAATTAGGGATATTTTGAACCTTGAATGACTACACAGTTGTGTTTCTTTTAACTCATGTTTAAAGTTTCTATATAAGCCCTACTGTTTGGATTTTACCATTGAATATGCACTGCAGAATTTTGGAATTTTGTAAAAGATATATATACAAATTGATTTTCCTATATCGTATTATTCTTTGATGTAACATTGTGATATAAATAGTCTTCTTTGATCTGCAGCGTCATATTGGTACAGTTTTACAGTTTTCTGGTTGACTGTACAAGTGCCATGCTCTGATGGTTGGAAAGACCCATTTAAGCCCTGGCGGCTGTGGTGGCCCTGCCCAGCTCCCCCCATGGGATACTCTCGTTCCCTAGTCAGGCAAATGGCCCTCAAGCAAGTGAGTGAAACACAGTCTGGCTTGGAGGCTAAGACAAAAGAGTCCTGGCTTTGCCCCTTTGGGTACCATGGCACCACCTCCCATTTCATGCTTTCTCATACTTAGTTACTAATCTATTAAGCTGTATGTAAGGCTCCATGTTTTGGGCATGTTGCATAGGCACATGATGGGACCAAACTTGGCACATTTTTTTTCCTTTCCTAACTGCAGGTTGTACCTATGCAGGCAAGATTTTTTACAACAATGAGACATTCCCATCCATCTTGGACCCCTGCCTAAGTTGCATTTGTTTGGTAAGTGCATTTGTTTGGTAAGACCCTTTAAAGTCTCCTTGCTCAGCCTGTTGGAAATGCTTCATCCTGGTTACAAATCCTAGAGATCAAGTAATAAACAATACCTTGCTTGGGAGTTTCCCAACCATGCAAGGGCCTGAATTTTGCAACATAATGAGCTTTCACACAAACCTGACAAACACTGAGTTGGCACAAATGTTCTTCCATTGCTGTAGGACTGCCAGCATTGCTCAGCATTCACTATGGACAGCAATGAAGGAAAGACAATAGAGTCACAACAGTGTGTGTCCCTCTGTGTGTGTACACTCATGTGCACAGCTGTCTGTCCATCTCTCATATATCAAGTAAGCTTAAACTTACAGCCCATTCCGGATATATTGCACTTCCCTTGAAGGACCAGGTTTATCGTTTGAGGGTGCTCTTAGATCTAGTTATGTTACTTAAGAAGGAAGTCACAGAGGTGACCAAGGGTCACTTAGGCTAGTCTTGCAGCAGCTGCCATTCCTGATTTGCTACCATCCAGATAAGAGTAATCCATGTGCACCCTGTGAGGCTGCCTATGAAAAATGTCTGGAAACTTTTAACTGGTTCAAAATGTGGCTCCAAAGGATTTGCCACAGATAACATATTGAGGACCTACCTAGACCCCCAGTTGGATAAGCAGGTGTTAGTGGTGGTCAGGGATGCCTTTCACAGGCTTCAGCTGGTGAGCCAGACATGGATGTTCCTGGGCAGGAAGATCTTGCTACTGTGGTGCATGGTAACATCTAGATTAGAGTACTGCAGAGTACTCTGCATGGGGCTGCCCTTGCAGACTGTCTGGAAGCTACAGACTGTGAGCGGAATGCCGTGGCCAGAAGTGCTGACCGGAGTGGGTCGGAGGGGCCCTATCACCCCAGGCTTCTTCCATCTGCACTGGCTACCAGTTTGCTTCTGGGTCCAGTTCAAAGTGCTGGCATTGACCTTTAAAGCTGAAGGGATTTCCAGACCACCCACTCCCACATTTATTTGTTTATATTTATTCATTAAAACATTTGTAATCCTGCCTTTCCTCGTGGTTCAAGGCAGCACACAGTACTAGACTATGAACCTGCCTGACCGCTCTGGTCACCTTTCGAAGGTCTGCTTCTGGTTCCCCTCGTCACCCGAACTCCTTCCCCAGGAAGGTTTGTCTGCCTTCCTCTATCTTTGTCTTTCCCCGGTGGGTGGAGACTTTTATTTTTTGACGTCCCCTCTCTAACTCTTATTGGTTGCCTTTTCCTTGTTTGTGTTTCATGTGTATATAATTTTCTGTGTTAAAATTATGTTCTATGTAATTGTTTTAAATATTTTTATGTATCATTGTATTTTAAATGCTTTTTAATGTTTGAAATGTTTAAATGTGTGGACTTTGGTGGAAAGGCAGGATGGATATGTTTTAAATAAAATAAACAAATAAGTATATCAGCAGTGTGATGCACACTGCATCATCGGACAGTCTGTTTCTGGCCCCAATTCAGAGTGCTGGTGTTGACTTTAAAGCCCTAAACAGTGATTCCTGTGGTACCTATGGGACTGTACCCTCCCACATGAGCCATCGTGTGCTCAGCTGCAGCTGTCCTGAACCACATGCCCCCATTAACAGACATGAGAGACTGATGGGCATGTGGGCGAATGGTCTCTCAGCTGTAGCCTTCAGGCTGCAAACGTCCATGACCTATGAGTTTGGTTCCCAACTCCAGTGTAGGAAATTCCTGGACATTAGGGGCAGTGCTTGTGGAGGGGAGATTTTGGGGGAGGGATTTCACTTAAAATTTGTCCTCTGAAGCTGTCATTTCCTCCAAGAGTACTGATCCATGAAGATCAGTTGTAATTCCAGGAGAACTCCACGTCCCATCTGGAAGCTGGAAACCCTACCCTCCTACCACCAAGAGTGACCAGCTGGAGGGCCCTTTAAATCTAGCAGGAGGGAGGGAGAGGGTCAGTCACGGGCTGCATGCTCAGCTCACGAAAAGACCCTTTAAAGGGGGAGATGAGCCCTGTGCGTTGTGCCCCCCCCCCGCTCTCAAAAAGACCCTTTAAAGGGTCTGTTTGTGAGCCAAGCATGGCCTGCAACTCCCCCTCTTTAAAGGGCCCTCCAGCTGATTGGCGGGCCACATGGTCCCCACCAATCAGCTGAAGCCCTTTAAATCAGGAGGGAGGGAGAGGGGTGGCCAGGGAGGTGGTCGCACTTGGTGGCAAGTTTTCCCCCACTGGCCAGTTGGCTGGGGGTGGATTGAAGGCCCCAGAAGTTGGGGAACCGCCACCTGAACCTGGGGGCTGGCAACCTAGGAGGCCCATTTGTATCCTTAGCTTTTGACTTTCTAGTAATGTGTAAGGATCCCCCCCTCCTCCAAGGGCATTTTGTGACTGTTGAAAAGAACCAATCACCTGGTACGGAATTGATTGATTCAGCTGTTCCTGATCTTTCACTGCTTATAGCTGGCATTTATTGTTTTTACTGCTTGTATTCCTGTTTTTAATGCTGTTTTGTGATGAATCGTAGTATGGCTGCTGCTGGCTTGCTTTATGTATTTTGTGTATAGCTTTATGTATAGCTTTTTGTGTTGTAGTCTTCACTTTTTTGTTTCACTTTAGGCTTTTTATTTATAAGCTGCCTTTGAGTGCCTTTTAGTAGAAAAATTGGGAAACATTGTTTTAAATAACATGCTGAGATGGTGGCAAAAAATCCCTACTTCCCCCTCTGAGGTGGAGGACATTTCCATGGGTTATTCCCACCGTTCTTTTAGGGAGGCAGGATGGATAATACTTTTTCCTCCTTTCTCTTGGTGCCTTGGGAATAGCCCTTCCCCTCAGTTCTGTTCCTGCCTCTTAGGGAGTAGCAGCTAGAGACAAGGCTCTGCCTTTTTCCTTCAGCCTACACCATTTTTTTCTCCTATTTAACTACTCTGTTTCTGCCCTTGTTTTTCCCTTCTACTGAACTTCCTCTTCTTTCTTCCTTGTTTCTCTCAGAGGAACCAGAAGACGTCGTTGAGAGGTAATCTCCTCCCGAGTGCTCTGCGCATGAGAGAGATGGCAGCAGAGCACTCCGATGGCTTTTCTTTGGGGGAAGAGGAAATGCTAGGGTTGCCAAATTTTTAAAACTTACCGGCGGGGGAGCTTCCTGCCGGTCCGGGAGGTGTCCGACGATGCGAGCGTGCAAAGCGCGCGTGTGGCCCCGCCCCCAGCGTGCGACGTCACTTCTGTGTGACGCGCACGCCGGGGCGGAGTTCCCCCCGGGCCCCGATTCCCCGGCGTTGGGTAACGGGCCTCCGGGGCGGGGGAATTCCGCCCTACCGGGGGGGTTGGCAGCCCTAGGAAATGCTCACTGCGGTGGCGGTTGGGGCGCAACGCGGCTGTGGGGCCTACTTGCCTTCAGGGCTTGTTTGTGCCGCCCCGACGAGCACAGCAGAGGTGGCGGCGGCAGTGATGCAGTGTGCGCAGAAGCACCGCTGGCCACAGGAGGCAGCAGAGCCCACCGATTCAGGGCAGGTGAAGATCGGTGGCGGCCATTTTGAGGGAGGTGAGCTGAGTTCTTGCAGCCATCCAAGCCCTCTGCTGATCACATCGGGGGCAGAAGGGGCCAGTAAGACCTCCGATTTGCGTCCTCCCAGGCCAGACCTTACTTGCATGGAGGGTAATGTATGCAATACAGGGGCCCTAATCGACACACCAGACCTAATGCGAGCCTTTCATCAGGCCACGCAAGAGGAGATTTCCTCCTTCTGCGCCAGGGCGGGGATCATGGGACAAGGGAATTCTCCAGCCCAGGCTTCTCAATCTTCTACCCCCTGGCCTACCAAAGCAGCCCAGAAAGCTCCTCCTATACCCATTAGAAGGTCGAGGGGGGAGCATTGGGAAGAGGAAGAGTCTTCAGTATCCCTCACAGATAACAGAGAGGAGGGGGGCTTACTCTCAGAGGAGGAAATAAGAATGCCAGAACAGTCCAGCAGGTTTTTTTAAAGCCAAGGACTATTTTTAACCAAGGCTATCAATGCCCTAGAAATTTAAGACGCTCCCCCAACAAACGAGCAAGGGCCCTCCAAACCTAAGCTCAAATCCAGGTCCAGAGGAAATACGGGGTTTTTTTCTACCAGAGGAGTTAGTGGAAAACGTATTTCCCTTTCCTGAGTATTTTGAATGCCAGTTAAGGGTGGCATGGGACAGGCCTACAACAACTAAACAGCTCCCCAACTTTGTCATTGCCTAGTTACACCAATGAGTTATTGCAGATACCACCAGTGGATGGTCCAGTTTACAGGCCTTGTTTCTGAAGATGGAAATGGCACTATACGAGATCCTATTGACAAGAAGGCGGATACTACACTAAAGAGGATCCATGAGGCCATTGCTATGATGGTTAAGGCAGTGGCCACGGGATCAATCGCTTCCAGAGCATCCATTGTGTGGATATGCATGTTGATTCAGCTCTTACTTGAAAACAACAGAGGACTGTTGGAGGGTGCCACTCGCATCCTAAAAGGGGCATCCTTCTCTCCAGATGCTACTCTGGACATCTTGACCTTTGCCTCTCGGGCTATGGCTTCAACAGCAGTGACAAGAAGAGTACTCTGGTTGAGGGCATGGCAAGCAGACTTCCAGTCCAAATTGACAGTCACTGGGTATCCTTTCCAGGGGGATCGGCTCTTCAGAGAGGCTCTGGATAGGATCCTAGTGGAGACACAAGACAAAAAGAAAGCCATGCCCAGGAACCTTCCCCACATAGAAAGGTGGGGTTCTCATTCCTTTTGCACGCAGCATTCCCTGCCACGTTTCCATCAAGACCAGAGAAGGAGTACCTGGAGCTTGTCCAAACCCCCCAGGGAAGAGGAGCTCCTTCAATTCCAAGTTCAACAAGTCCTCCTTTAACAAGTCTGACCAAGGGGACCGGGACGCCAAACCCAAGCAGGCATGACTACACCGCACCTCCGGTGGGGGCACACCTTCTGGAGTTCTCCTAGGCCTGGATGCATTGTCAGGCAGACGCCTGGGTGAAAGAGATTGTGTCTAAGGGCTTATACCATAGAATTTTGTTGCCCTCCACTAGAAAGGTTTCTGATCTCTCCTATCAGCAAATCAATTACCAAGCGATCTTTGGTCAACAGAGCCCTACAACACCTTTTGGAGATAAGAGCCATAGAACCAGTGCCCCCACCAGAACGGGAACGTGGGGTTTACTCAATTCTGTTCCTGGTTCCCAAGAAAAATGGCGATTGGAGGGCCATTTTAGACCTCAAGTTCCTCAACAAGTTCATCAAACGATCTACAATGAAATACCACTCTGGGTATCGCCATTAGAAGCCTTCATACTGCCAGCGTTGTTAACAAATGAAAAAAGAGCAACATATGAAACATTGTTAACCAAAGAAAAAAATTTGAAAACATTTGAGTCTTTACAAGAATTGAATTTGAACCTTACTAGCTGGGAAAAGACAGTATTGCACTCAAGATTCGATAAGGTCAAAAAAATGAATTTCGCAAAATCAAAGTCTGAATTGGATAAGATCTGGTTATCATCTGCAGATAAACAAATCCAAAAACTATACAATTTCCTATTGAATGACAGTATGAAAGAGATAGCAGTTAAACCCAGCATGAAAACCTGGGAACAAAATATTGGCCACATAATACATTCAGAAGAATGGGAAAAAATGTGGAAATCTTTGAAAATTGTAAAAGCCACGACATATAAAGAGAATATATTTAAGATGTTCTACAGGTGGCACTGGACCCCAGATAAACTCTCCAAATGTTATAAGAATGTCTCAGATAGTTGCTGGAGATGTAAAAATAACATAGGTACTTATTACCATACTTGGTGGAGATGTGAAAAAATATGTAGCTTTTGGAAAATGGTTAAAAACCTGATAAAAGAGTTAACAGACATAGAATTGCAAAACCGTCCCGAAACGTTTCTTTTGAACATGATACCAGATAGATTGAGCAAGGACGATCACTGTGTTATTTTATATATTCTTACAGTAAGCAGAATCCTTGTAGCCAAGAATTGGAAAACTGATACATTACTCAGAAAAGATGAGATAGTCGAGAAAATCCTGGAAATAGCCGAAGCGGACAAATTAAATCAAATATTAGTAGGGAGAGATGACAAAGTTTTTAAGAAAAGGTGGAATAAGGTAGATAAATGGATGGAAAAAAATGTATAAAGTACACTCAAAAGATTGTTATGTAAAAATTGAACTTCTTTTTTGTTTGTTTTTTGTAATAGAAAATACATAAATAAAACTTTTTTAAAAAAAAAAAACAAGTTCATCAAACGGCGTCACTTCCGCATGGAGACACTGTGATCAATAACGGAGACTCTGTCACCAGGCGATTTCCTTACGTCAATAGATCTCACGGAGGCCTACCTCCATGTGCTGATTCATCCAACACACAAGAGGTTCCTACATTTTTGTGCAGGCAGGCAGTCATTTTCAATACCGAGCATTGCTGTTTGGTCTTTCTACAGCACCCAGACTGTTCTCTAAACTGATCATCAACCTGGTGGTGCACCTCAGAAGACAGGGGATCCACGTACATCCATATCTAGATGATCTGCTTGTGAGGGGCAACGACAGAGCTTCAGCCATCTGGGACACCGAGCAGACACTACAATATCTACAGGAGCACAGATTCATTGTGAACTTGGCCAAGAGTGCTCTTTGGCTGTCTCAGGAGCTCGAGCATCTAGGAGCTGTCAGACACGAAACACACTTTTTCTACCGTCAGCCAAGACAATCGAAATCCGAGACATGGCATCTATAGTGGTACAGAGTCCATTTTCTACCTTGATGTCACAGGCCAAGCTCCTGGGCCTCATGATATCATGCATAGACATGACTCAATGGGCTCGTCTTCACTCCAGACCAGTGTTCCCTCTAAGCTGAGTTAGTGTGAGCTAGCTCACACTAACTCAGCTTAGAGGGAACATTGCTCCAGACCTCTACAGCGTTTTCTCAGGCCATATCAATGACACATCATGGAATGCAGGAAAACCAGCCTGCATGTTCCTGCCCTGGTCAAGTCCAGCTTACGGTGGTGGATGAAACTGAAGAACCTGAGTCAAGGCAAGGTCTGTTACACACTCATCCTTAAAGGAGCCCTCATCTAGGGCCAGTGGACTGGGGAAGAACAACACCTTCCAATCAACCTCTTGGAGCTCAGAACAATTTGTTATGCCCTGTGTCAATTCAGCTCCAGGATTCAAAATCAGCATATCTTAGTCCGAATGGACAATGTCTCAGCCAAGGCATACCTCAACAATTGGGGGGGGGGTCACAATCATCTCAACTACATCAAGATATTCACTTGGGCCGAAAAGAACTTAGCCTCAATATGGCGGAACACGTCAAGGGAATCACCAATGTTCAGACCGACTGGCTCAGCAGGGAGACCATCCGCAAGGGGGAATGGTCTCTACACTTGGATCTATTCAAATTCATCACGACACAGCTAGGTCAGCCTTTGGTGGACCTCTTTGCATCTCCCAGGAATCACCAACTACCACGTTTTTTTCATGAGATACTTCCATTCAGCAGCGGAGGCAACAGATGCCCTAACTGCTCCTTGGCTTCACGGTCTTCTCTTCACATTCCCGCTGATCCCAAGGACCATTCGGAAGATTAGGGAAGAGAGAGCAGAGGTGATCCTGGTCGCCCCTCCTTGGTTCTCAGACCTGAAGGAGATGGCCGCTTTGCATTTCCCACAAAGACAAAGTGGTTCTCAGGACTGATCCCATGTTTCAGCCAAAGGTATCATCTACCTTTCATTGTGCTCAGGAGATTTATTTACTGACGTTCTGCCCCGATTCTCAGCATCCTAAAGAGCTCTTGTGGCACACGTTGGATGTCAGACGTGCACTGAAGAGCTATATTGTCAGGACTGAGCCAATCAGAAAGATGGACTGTATGTTCATCAACATCTCCTTTCTGAGGGCGGGGGACAGGATGTCTAAGGCGTCCATCAGCTCCGTTCTTAGGTCTTGCATTACTTATTTATTTTATTTATTTTTGGATTTGTAGCCCGCCCTCCCCGAAGGCTCAGGGCGGCTAACAAGGGCATAAATGCCAGGTTAAAACAGTAAAAACAGTATAAAAAGTGCAATAATAGAATACAATACAATCAATAAAACATCAGTGCTCCATTATGGAGGCCTACAAAGACTCAGGGATGGAGATTCCGAAGGGGATCACAGTGCATTCTCTGAGAAGTGCCTCAACCAATGCAGCATTCGTTAACTGGGCATCAGTCGATGAGGTTTGCAAGGCAGCCACTTGGACGTCCATTTCTACGTTCATTTGTCACTACACGTTAAACACGATTGCCTCAGGCAATGCTGCATTTGGAAGAAGAGTTCTTCAGCACATTGTCACTTTGGCTGACGATGATGACCCACCCACCTGAGGGACACTGCTTTGGGAGGTCCCATGGAGATGTCCTCCACCTCAGAGGGAGAACGGCCATTGGCACTTACCGTGAAGGGTCCTTCTCCTCTGAGGTCAGGAGGACATCTTGGCCCTCCCACTCTAATCATCATCTATCTGTACTTTCACTTCACTGTGCTGTTCTCTTCTTCCCCTCCATTTTCTTCTTAGCATTGTTGAAGTTCCTGTTACACTTGTTTGAAGTTGAAGTGCTTGGCGCAGGGGAGATACTTTTAGTGAGTACTCACTGCTTGTGGAGTCCCAGAACTGAGGGGAAGGGCTGTTCCCAAGGCGCCAAGAGGAAGGAGAAAAAAGTATTTCCTGCCTCCCTAAAGGAACGATGGGAATAACCCACGGAGATGTCCTCCTAGCCTCAGAGGAGAAGGGCCCTTCATGGTCAGTGCCCAGTGGCCATTCTCACATAGCACCCTACTAGAGTTGCCAGGATGCAGCCTCCTGTCAGCAATCTGGGCTTCCTGCTGTTGCTCCTAGGGTGGCAGGAGGGAAAAAAGTGTTACTGATCACAGGTCATGTCACTTCAAGGGAAAACTGGAGATCGTATTACTCTAAGAATCTAGGAATAATGGAGTCACCCGCACTTCCTAGAGCAATGTAACATCACATCCAGGTTTCCCCATGGGCACCAGAACACATGGGAAACACACACACACACACGAAAAATGGGACTGTGGAAGAGCCTGAAGCGTTACACCACTCATGCAAGGTCGGAGTTTTGAAGCTGCTGCCTGCCTGCCATTTGTGGAAGATCTTGGTGTCCCCTTTTGTGTTGTGATTGCTTTGCAGCTGGGCTCTGTGGCCTGTTCTCCCGTGGACTGTATTGCCTCCTGTACATACCCTTTCCACCCTGAAGGGGAGTGCTGTCCCATTTGTTATGGTAAGTATCAAAACTTTAGTGTCTTTTTATCTATTGAGATATTAAGAAGAAGAAGAAGAAGAGAAGAGATTGGATTTATACCCCGCCCTTCACTTGGAGTCTCAGAGCGGCTTACAAACTCCTTTCCCTTCCCCTCCCCGCAACAGACACCCTGTGAGGTGGGTGGGGCTGAGAGAGCTCTGACGCAAACGGCTCTTTTTCAAGGACAGCTGTGCCAGAGCTTGTGACTGACCCAAGGTCACATCAGCAGGTGTAAGTGGAGGAGTGGGGAATCAAACTCGGTTCTCCCAGATTAGAGTCCGCGCACTTAACCACCACACCAAACTGGCTCTCAAACCCCACTTTCCCCCCAAAGCAGCATACTTCGTTCTTCCCCCTCCATTTTATCCTTACAACAGTCGCCTTGCGTGGTAGGTTTAGATGAGCGTGTGTGACTGGCCCAAGGTCACCCAGCAAGCTTCCATGGCAGAGTGGGGATTCGAACCTGGGTCTCCCAAATTCTAGTCAGACACTATACCACACTGGCTCTCAGATGATAATCAGTTTTCTTAAAATATACTATGTGATGGAGGAGGAGGAGGAGGAGATTGGATTTCTACCCTCCGGCCCTTCACTCCCCAAAGGAGTCTCAAGTGGCGTACAAGCTCCTTTCCCTTCCCCTCCCCTCCCCACAACAGTGAAGTAGGTGAGGTTGAGAGAATTCTGACTGAGAACTGCTCATGAGAGAACAGCTCTGAAAGAACTTGTAACTGCCCCAGGGTTACACCAGCAGCTGCATGTGGAAGAGTGGGGAATCAAACCCGGTTCTCCCAGATTAGAGTCCGTGCCCCTAACCACTGCACCAAATTGGCCAGTAATACAGTAGAACAGGAGAGAACGAGGTAGTCTTGCTGCAGGGTTATCATCTCTTTGCAAGAGGGAGGTGGTGTTTATATTTGGAGATGTTTTCTCCAGCACCCTAGAAAAGGACTGCACAAGGTATAGCTAATTTTTAAAAGGGTGTGTGGTTGGGGTGGGGCGGGTAGAGTAGACAATTCTACATCACTGGGTGTGTTGGGCTTTGTTATCCATGAGAATTTATGAATTAGGAATGAGGATACAACTAATAGTACTTGGAGGAGAAACCATATACAAACCGTCAAGTGCCACAGGAAAGGTACTTCCCCACCCCCCTTGGAAGGGGGAGTATTACACATTTATCCTGCCTAGTGCAGGGGAGTGTGTGTTAGATTATCATGTACCTAATACAAAGGCTCTCACAAACATATGAAAACCCCAAGGTAGTCAATGTTTATATATATATGCTGGCCTTTATTTACTGGAAGTGCCTGCAAATGTTCTATAATGGTTGTATCCCATCCTTCCTTTAAGGAGGTATAAGCAACATACATGGTATGCGTTGCATGTATCTATCCTTACAACAGATGTATGAAGGAGGCTATGCCGAGGTTCCAAAGTCAAATACGCACCTGCAACTCCCAAACGAGATATGACAACAGGGTGATCTGGAAACAGGTTCCTTGCCTTTTAAATGGTGCTAATAGCTGCTGTTAGAGGAGGGGACTCAGTTCCAGACTGCAGAAGCTTTTCCTGACGTGCCATTTGCCCAACGTAGATCAGGCACTGGAGCTGCTATTTGTCCTGTGAGGCAAGTTGTGTGTGTGTGTGAAATAGCATGGGGGGGGGGTCTCTCCACACACTCAGCAGCTGCTAACATTTTTAAAAACACTAGGGAGAACCACCTGGAGATCTCCTCCTGTCATGCCTAGTTTAGTGCTGAGTCCAACACTGGCTGCCATTGTCATATGCACTTGTAATTTTGCTCTCTCTCCAAGTACTTTCCATTTTGCATAGCATAAATAGTCCAATTAATCTTATTTAGTTTATAGTGTTGACATCATTTACACACACACACATCTGCATGCTATGCATAGCAGTAGTCCTGTGTGTTGTCAGTGCTGCCTTCTTTAGATAAGACCAAAACTTAGAATTCCAACTTGTGGTGGTCATGGTATGAATCTCCTGTAGTCAGATTTATGACACAAGGTGGCCTTACATCTGGCTTAAGCTAACTGGTATGAGACAGTTATGCACCATTCAGGCCCTCTCTGCACCTGTATTTTGCCTTTTCTGAGCGCATTGTATTCTTCCATTCTGCATTCCCTCCCTCTCTCACTTCCAGTTTGTGTTGGGGATTTTTCTTGTTTCTGCATTTGTTTTACAGGAATCTGCATTCAGACCATTTCCAGCACACTGTTGCTCCGCAGTTACCAAAACTCCTTTTGCTGCAGTTTTTGTTCTCATCCACTTTTGAATCGCTAATCCTTTCTAAAGTAGAATTGTTTCTGTGGGTATTTAAGTGCTGCCCACTGCCCTCCCCCATGTCCCCCTCTCTCTCTCTTTAGGTTGACGTTCCCTCCCCATTCTGTTTTCTTTCCCTCCTTCTCCAAAGACAAAAGAGGATCTGTCCTCCCGCTACAGCAAACTTTTAAAAAGCCAGAGGGAGCATAAGAAGGAATCAGTAAATGTAAAGAACTAGGGGATTCCCTGCTCTCAAATGTCTCAGTCTTGCGTGTGTGGGCCTGGATTTCCCCCTCCCTTCCCTTTCTTTTTGCAGAATCACAGAGGGAGGGAGGGAGGGGTTTGGGTCTGCAGTTAAAAGTTTTGAAAGATGTTTGCCTTTCTCTTCATCTTTGGCAAAGCAAACCAGTTAGTTCAAAAAAATCGGGTTTTGCTTGTAGATGCAGAATGCATACAGAATACACAAATGAATTAACTGGAGGGGGGGAAACAATGCAGAGGGAATGCATGCGACTGCTAAGTCAACCCTTAAGGCTTGACTCCTCAGATTCTCTGGAGCAAGCGGCCAGTGCCGAAAGGGCCCAAGTCTCTGAGTCGCAGCTTGTCGTTCTGATCTGTCTGGCCGTTTTTCTCTCTATGGCAGGGGTGGCCAAACGTGCTTAACGTAAGAGCCACAAAGAATAAACATCAGATGTTTGAGAGCCACAAGACATGAACAAATATAACCCACACGTTTTTACTGGGAAATATGCAAATTTGCTTTTTATTAGCATTAAATGAGACTGCCAAAAAAATTTAAAAGGAGTAAAAACAGATATTGATGATGATATTTAACTTTAGATGGGGAGGGAGGGGAGAAAGAGAGAGGAGGAAAGAAAGTGGAAAGAAAGCAAATAGATGGGGGGGAGGGTGGAAAGAAAGCCACTTTAAATGCATCTTCCAAGACCCCTATGCCCCCCCCTCCAGCTGGCTTGGCTTGGAGAAGGGATTTAAAAAGGCAAATGCCTTCTCCAAGCCGGCCAGTGGGGGAGGAGGTCTTTAAGAATGCATTTAAAGTTAAAGTTGCTCTCTTTCTCTGCTCCCCCCACCTCAAGCCTACCCCGGGAGGGGAACACTGGCTGGGGAAGGGAAGACCGAATGGGGAGGCCTGCCTCCCTTTCGCTTCCCCATCTGCCCTGCTGGGAGCTCCAGAATATGTGTGAAAGAACTGCATGCGGCTCCCGAGCCACAGGTTGGCCACCCCTGCTCTAGAGGGACTTCTGTTAAAAGTGGATCACTTGCACTGTCCTGCTTTTGCAGATTGCAATTACAAAGGAAGGAAGGTGGTGAATGGACACACCTTTGTACCAGAGGGTGAACCCTGTATTCATTGCACCTGCCAGGTGAGCAGTTTAGGCATCCTGCAGAGTGGTTGAGACTTGAGGGGTTGGGTGGGGGGGAATGACTGGGGTGTTCAGCAATTGGTGTTGCTCCAAGGAGCCACTTTCTGACACCCAGACTTGGGTGGCTGTGGTGCGCCATCCTGCCCCTCATACACTCTTATGGACCTGTTATTATTAGCATGCCTAGAATAAGTTTTATCGGTGCCCCTTGATTTGAGATCTCCCTTGACAATAATGAGTGTCCTTTGCCTGTACCACCCATCCTCTCCTTGAGTGATGGGCTTCCAAGAAAATTATGTACATGTCAGTGCTAATTCTCCAGAGGACAATGCAACTTCGTCTGTTTCTTGCTGTCTCCTCAGCTTGGAGAGGTGAGCTGTGAAAAGAGGCCCTGTCCAAGCTCCTGTGCAGAGCCCTTTGCCCCTCCTGTGCATTGCTGCCCAGACTGCCAAGGTAACGAGGTGACAGGTAAACCTATTCTTTATATGTTACTTGAGATTTCCTTGGAGCCTCTCTCTGTAAATTCAGAACCATGCAATCTCACAGCAAGGAACTCAGTATTTTGGAAACAGAAAATGCATCTCTTCTGCTAACTGCTGTGCTTTCCTCTGAGCCTTTTGCTGATGGGAGGTCTTACTCATAAAAGCTAATGCTTGCAATAAACTTGGTTAGTCTTAAAGTTGCCACTTGATTTCTGTTTTACATTGATGCAAAAAAATCAGCAGAAGACCCCTTGCCTTATTGGAAAGTGTTGCCATTACGTAAATGGATCTGCAGGTTCTCCTAAGGATGTTTGACATGTTATGGGAACTTTAAACATTTTCCTGGGCGCATAGGTGTGACAGTGGAAGCGGCATTAACTTGTCTGTCATGGAATTTGGAATTATTTGTCCATGTTGCTGGGGGACAGACACTGAGGCCCTAACGACACGTTACAAGGTCCCTGTGACTACCCAGTCCAGTTGACCTGATGTGCTCAGGGAATTCAGTCCTTGGAACGTAATTCCCACACATGCACGGTCCCAGTCTGGATTAGGATCACCGAATGCGTGGAGAGGAGGCTCAGGCCTTCCCATCACCTAAAATGGCCCTGGGGAGCCACTCTTTGTGGCTGTTCACTGGGGCCTTTTCAGGTTGGGAAAACAGAAGGGAGGGAAACAACCACACTCTCAGACTAACCTCTGCCACTGTGACCTGGGATGGACACCTGGGGGATGTTAGGACTTTGTAATGTGTGAACAGAAGTGGGGATACGAAGGGAAATGTAGATGCTTGGTGGGAAATGCTGAGGAGTCAATTGCCAAGTGAAGGCCACACCCGGCGGTTTGACACTGCAGCCCTGAGCAGAGTCACTACTTTCTAAGCCAATTAATTTCAATGGATTTAAAAGTGTGTGACTCTGGGATTGTGCTGTGAGTCATCAATATGGTCTGACTGGTTGGTCTTATATTATTACATTTTAATTCCCCCCCCCCCAGCACAGACATATCTGAACACGCGGGTTAGCTTAAAGCCACAATGTGTGTTATAACAGCAGATTATTATGCTGTACTCAGACCCTTTCAGAGTTAGGAAGCCTCAGAAATTGCTTCTCGTAGTTCACTGTGCGTGTATGTTCCTGTTGTATTTGTTGGTCTTTGGTTCTCCCTATGAGATGCACCCAAGAGAAGTTGTGTGTGTGTGTGTGTGTGTGTGTGTCTTCTGGCCAGGGTTTACATAGTTTATAATGCAGGTAGAAAACAGAGGGCATTCAGAAATAATGAATGCTAAATCTAGTATGTGATTTCTTCACACCAGATGCCCTGGCCTCATTGGAGAATAGACTAGCCACCTCTCACACAGAGGTTGGAGAGACAGAGACAGCCTTGCAATCCATTCAGAGACATTCCATGGCCTTGATACCTGAAGACAACTGCAGTCTCTGCAACAACACCTCTGTACCTGCCACACTCACTCCAGGGGTGCGTCTTGCATCAAGCACTGCACCTCCTTGGGAGACTCGGTATGTGACCTCAGCTACACCAGGAAATGTTGGGCTTCATCAAAACAGACCAGAGGATCTCTCCAGGCTGAAACTCAACAGACCACCAAGTGTTAGACCTCCTCCTTGGCTAGGCTATCCTGCAACCCCTCGGATGAGGTCGGGAGGCACTCTGCCACTTCTAAATAGAGCAGCAGGTGTCAGGTCTCATCCCACCAGACCAAGCACTTTTGGTTCCCCTTCAGCTCATCGTCATCAGCCTTCTTTCATTACAAGGACATCTGGAATATCTGTGCTCTCCACTGCTGTTTATACTCCCACTTCATCTAGTGTAGCTAACCACACAGATCCCATAAGTGGCCCTGTTGGTCCTTCATATGCCCCCAACTTTCCTGTGCCACTTCCACGGTTAGCAAGCCCCACTCCGGACTCTCCTTCTCAAGAACTTCCTAGAAGCCCGTCTCCCACAACTAATTTACCTGTAGGCCAGCAAACTGTGGAGAGCAGCCCTACATTGTCCCCTGCTGATGAAAATAGCATCAATGGCACAGATCCATAAAGGAGGATCTATTTTGAATGGGAGAAATCTAACCACATCAGCCTCGTCAACAAAGGACATCTACAGATAGGGTTTGCCACTAATGGTATGAGCTGTCCTGCCACTACTTATCCCTGGCAGCACTCTGCCTTCTTGAAGAGCAGGTCTTTTTAGTGTAGGCATTATTTGAGCCTTAGCCTAATGTTAAGGAGATGAGGCCCAATCTACCTACCTAACAAATATCTTCCTGACTATAGAATACAGTGGAGTGTCTTTTCTTTGCCATATCACAATGTATAGATTCCAGAAGTTCCTTCTGCCTTTTTGGGAATGCAGGTGTTTGAAGGATATATTGGATAGTACCATCTTCTAATTGTATCTCTTTTTCTCAACATGGTGGAATTGGTGTTCTGCCAGCAGGGGAACTTATTCCTGTGCAGCTCTCCAAGTAGTAAATCTCTTCACCGCCCAGTCTAGCACAGATATCCTGTTGCTGCTTGCAGACATATATGCAAACTTCAGTGCTGAAAGGTTTGAAATGAAACTGGCCAGTTTCATTGCAGCCAAAAGCTTACTCTCTGACTAAATTGTTTTGAACATAACCATACCTATTGTCACTATGTAGACTTGCTGGCATGTGTGAATCTAATACTAAAGCATTCCTTTGATTCCTTTCTTGCTTTGGTAACAGATCTACTAGGACGTATGGAGTTCTAAAGTTCAAAAGATCATAGTATTGTGAAGCTAGATTCATATGAAATATACAGTTTGTGCTATCTGAATTTAAACGTTTACTCTAGGTTATAGGGAGATGTGTATTTTGATGTTTAAAAATCTTAACTGAAATTCATGCAGAAATCTTAGATGTGGGATGCCAGCTACCATTGCCCCCCCCCACCCCCAAATTTGGTCTTTTGTGGTCCTTGGACTTTTAGGATTGTAGGGTATATCTAGCCCACTCCTCAAGCCAGTGGCAGGAGAGGCTTTTTAAAAAAACTACCTCAGAGAGGTGGGGGACATCTACATCAGACATTTGAAATCACACAAACTGCCATAGCTTCCTGCAAAGAACCCTCACCACCACAGTTTTGTGATGGTGTCAAGAGTTCTTTGTTGATTCTTTCTGACTCCTTCATGAAATGGCAGCTCCCATAGTTGTTTGGGTATAAATTATGGCAGTTATTAGGTTTGAGATTGGTTTACATGTACAGTATCAACTTGGCACTTGGGCATATCCACAGATTGCAGCATGGAAAGTGGTTTGAAGTATATCCGGCACACATCTGGCTTTCACTGTCCAGATATAGAGAGGCTTTTCTCTATGTAGTTTCTCTTTTATTTTATTTTATTAAATTTATGAATCGCCCACCCTGCAAGCAGGCTCTGGTTGATTTACAACGTTAAAATAGTTAAAAGACAGCATAAAATTATCATAATAGGCCAATAAATTAACATGGCCTTCCATAAGGTAAATGAGGGCATGTCCAACAGAGGCTCTGCATTCCACAGAACAGGCTTCGGGGTGTCCGTGCAGGGTTGGACCCAGGAAGGCCTACCGGTAGGGTTGACAAGTCCATTTTAGCCCCCAGCGGGGGACTTTGGGGGGCGTTCCTGGAGCGGGCGGGGCATCCCCGACATGATGACATCACACTGGGGACGCCCGCCCAATGGGTGCGCAGGGAAACGCCCGCTCCCTGCACTTAAAGGGGCCCCTTTAAGTGCAGGGAGCTGGAAGGTTTCGCACACCTGATCTCCACTTGGAGATTGGGCGTGTGGGAAACGCCAGCTCTCTGCACTTAAAGGGAGCCCCTTTAAGTGCAAGGAGAAGGGAGAGGGGTGGCTGTGGGTGTTGGGGCTTGGGGGCAGGGCTTCCCCCATCGGCCAGCTGGCCAGCAGCAGGTAGAACCCCCCCAAAAAAGCGGGGGACCCCTGCCAAACCGAGGGGGTTGGCAACCCTACCTACCTGTCTTTCCCACAGATATTTCCTACTCTTTCAGTTCAGAGCTCAGAGCCTGTACTGAATAAGGAACGTATAACTACTGTGGGGGCAAGCCCTAGTTCTCTTGCTATTGAATCTTTACCTAGATGAATCTCACACATGAAGAAGAAGAGATTGGATTTATACCCCACGGCCCTTCACTACCCAAGGGAGTCTCAGAGCGGCTTACAAACTCCTTTCCCTTCCCCTCCCCACAACAGACAGACACCCTGTGAGGTAGGTGGGGCTGAAAGAGCTTTGAGAGGACTGCTCTTTCAAGAACAGCTCTGACAGAACTACGGCTTGCCCAAGGTCATCCAGCAGGTGCAAGTGAAGAAGTGGGGAATCAAACCTGGTTCTCCCAGATTAGAGTTCGCGCAGTTAACCACTACACCAAACTGACTCTCTACAAGCTGCCTTACACTGTGTCAGACTATACTGAATCAGACCATTAGTCTATTGTGGTCAGTATTGCTTACTCTGACTGGCAACAGCTCTCCAGGGTTTCAGTGTCTCAGGTAGGTTGTTGCACGCCAGCACCTTGGGCACCAGTGGGAGGAAATGGGGGAGGTGAAAACACATTGGAAACCATGGCGTTTTTTGCAAAATGCTAGAGTGTCTGCCATGTCACTTCTGTTTTTTACCAAGGGAGTGCTATCTGTGGCCTGACAACCTATACTGAAAACCTGCCTTGAATAGTAGCAGGCAAAATCATGGTCTGTGTCTGCTTGCTTTCATGTTGCACATGTACTTGATCCTTCCCCCAAAGAGTTCTGAAGTTTGCATAGGGTTGCCAGCACTGTGCTGGCAAATGCCGGGCAATTTTGGGGATAGTGCCTGAGGACAGTGGAATTTCAGGGGATGTGAAATCATATTCTCCATGATGCTCTAGAAAGACCATAGAGCAGGGGTGTCAAACCTAAGGCCTGTGGGCTGGAAGCAGCCCGCCCAGGGCTTTAATCAGGCCCGTGGCTCTTTTCTCCACCCCCCTCCGCTGCCCATCCTTACCCTTGCGAGGAGATCGGGGCTGCCAAGCTTCCCAGCTGGCTGGGCTGTGTCTTTGCAGTTTCTCCTCCAGCAGGAAGCTCCTCTGGGCTAAAGTACAAAAAAAGTTGCAAAGTTTTTATGTTTAGTTTCTGCTGTGATCCTTGTGCTTTTTCTTGATGTTTTGTTTTAAAAATTGGATTGCTAAATCCCAATATCCCCCCACTTTTCCATTTTAGGTAGGTGTCAGACTCTTGAACAAAGTTACTCTCAACAGCACTCTCTGGCAGTGACTTGTTTATTGAGGAATAAAGATGTTTCAAGCTAAGATTTCTGTGTCAGAACTAAAGTTCTGGCACCAAGGCCCAAAGTTATACATTGTTCAAACAGGCTCCCCCCCTGGGTCCAGTCCAAATATAACCCACATTCATCCTGCCTAGGGTTGGTCCAGCCCCCACCTGCAGGTCTACCATTGCATTATCTATTTCTGTGGAACCAGCACAGGCAGCAACCAAAGTCATCCCTGAGAAGGGAGGCTACTTAGGAGTTACACAGTCACTACGACAAAGCCATTCTCACACTCACACACCCCCCTCAGGAATTCCCAGTAACTACTCGAGGCCCCTTAACAAATGTACGTCATGGCAAAGGAGACACTGAGTTTGACAGTAGGCATCTTTTAAGGGGGGGGGAGGTTTGGGAAGTGTCAGTTATCAAATACTGTTAAATAAAATATGGCAAGAGTGTTACTGTTTTAAGCATGTTTGTATTTAAGTTTAAAAAACCCTTTAATTTTGTTTGTCAGTGTCCTTTATAAAGTTAATATCTTGGCTACGTGGCATTACATTTTATGACACACATGGCTTGGCCCGACAAAGTCCTATTTATATCAGATTCGGCCCTTGTAACAAATGAGTTTGACACCCCTGCCATAGAGATTGGGGAAATTCCTAGAGCATCACAGACAATGTGACTTCACTTCCGGATAGTACGTTGGAATATGTGACATCCCCTCTGGGAGATGCTCTAGGAATCCCTCCAGTCTCTATGGTTTTTACCCATAGCCAATCTCTTATCCAGGCCCTGCTCCAGGCCAGTTATAAGATTGCATCATATAATAAATTATAAACATGCTTTGATCCCAAATTAAAAACAAGCACCCTTCAAGTTGGCTTGCCATGGGTACAAAAGCCAGTATGAATGACAAAATCTTTCCATATGGACACATTAAGAATCTGGCTTGGAAATCAAGAGTCCTTGGCATACTTGTATACTCTACTACAAGCCACTGGAACTGTTTTCAGCTCCTCTTCCATAAAATGGGTAATAGAACCTCCCCTCCTCATAGGATGTATCTGTATTTCCAACTTTGCTTTTAAACCATTTTAACTGTTACGGCTTTGCCAAGGAATCCTGGAAAGTACAATTTGGTGCAGTTAAGAAAACTCTTAATGCTTTTCCTAGAACCCACTTTATGGTGTAGATATGCTTTGTATAGCACCTGCTGCAGCTCTTTGGAAGTGTCTGGTGCTGAAATAACAGCCTACCAGCTTTCTTCTGTTCCAGAACTTTCCATGAACCGATTCCCAACACACTGACATTTCCGTAGTCCCTTAAATCTAAGTGCTGATTCACACTGACATGCCTTGATACTCAGCTGACGGTTTGAGTTGATCTTCATTGAAAAGCATTATGTTTTGAGTTGACTTGAAGGCTTTCTGTGGTGTTTGATTTGTGGTGGCTGTTTCATATACAAGTAGGGTTACCAACCTCCAGGTGGTGGCTGGAGATCTCCCACTGTTGCAACTGACCTCCAGGCAACAGAGATCAGTTCACCTGGAGAAAAGGGCCACTTTGGAAGGTGGGCTCTATGGGCATTATATCCCCATTGAAGCCCCTCCCCTCCCCTCACCCCACCGTCCTCAGGTTCCACCCCCAAAATCTCCAGGCATTTCCCAACCCAGAGCTGGCAACCCTATGTAGAAGTGATATCTCTTGAGCCATTGAGAGAATCATGCCATGCATGAACTCAACTGGGCAATAATATGCTGCAAGTATCAATGAACTCTCAAATTCATTGTTACGTTTTTTGTAA